ACTTTTTTGTTTACAAGTAACAAAATTTTACTAATTTTATATTTAATTACAACAAAATACCGAAAATACCTACCTACATAATATTTATTCATAAAAAATAAATACCTGTTATAAAGCTTTATACTTTCATTCAAACCATAGGAACAACAGTATTGTATATTTATTTAGATAACTTATCAGTATCATGTATCATCAATCTTGTTTGATTTAGTTAATGATCTTAATACTAGAAATATATTAATTTTTATCCATTGGTAGGTCTCCACTCTAGGGAAATATTAAGATTGTGTAAAATGGTGCAACTAATTTAAAATTTCAACAAAAAATACCTAAGTACTTGCAAAATGGAAAAGGTTGCATAATTTTAAATTTAGAAACCAGATAAATCGATTTTATTAATAAAATAACATTCAGTCATTTATTTAAAATACAATAAATAATACTCCTATATATTAAAAAGTACACACATGCATTTATTTACCTAGGTATACCCAATCTGTATTAGCAGATTTTCTGTTTCTGATTTTACATTAATTATTAATATTACCTATTTATAACACACAAATCAACAATAATTATCCGTACTTTTTTGGCGAAACTAACATTTAACAATATACAAGGTGTTTCACAAATAAATTGACATATTTCACGTTTGTTGGAACAAGCCTGATATATCCCTGCCCAATACAGTATTGAACAAAATGGGTTGAACACTAGATTTTTTGATTTATTGGATAAGTAATAAAAAATGCCGAGATAGGTTGGTTTTATTTTTAATTGCGTACCTATATTTTTTATGACGTCATCAATATTCGAGATATGACCTAACCAGGTATTTTTGGAAGAATTTAATGGTTATATAACAATATATTCTAGAATAAATGGTTTCAAAACGTTATTCGAAATCTTAGTTCTATAACATATAACGAAATTGGGATTGGGCCACCTTACACAAAAAAAATGTTCTATTTTAATTGGCTCTTATCAAAAAAGGATGTCGTTATTTAAACAAACTGGTGATGGCGTAATATCTCGTTTAGTGATGACGTTATCAGTGATGCCGCGAGACAAGACGAGAGAGTGGCCTTTCTCGTCTCGTAGGCCAAGAGAAAACTGTTCTCTCGTCTCGACGAGAAGGCGCTTTTCTCGCTCGAGAGAGCCTTTCTCTCGTCTTGTCTCGTCTCGTTTCTCTCGTGATAAAACAATATCAAAATTAAATTTGAAAAAGACGAAACATGAAAAAACGGTAAAATTTGTAAGACAAAAACAAAGAATTTTTCAAGTAATTTGTGCATTAGTACCCAAATTTGGCAATAAAAAACACTTATGTCTCTCTGTCTGTCCGTCTGTCTCAGTCGTTTTACAATTGAAATTTGAAGTAATAAGAGGCCCAGAATAGGCGTTAACTAAAAACGAAAATACTTTGTCTTATAATTTAGTTGGGGAGGGGGGAAGAGGTTAAATTGGAAGTTAGAATTTTTGTAATGCAATCCTGCGATGTCAAATGAAAGCATTTTGTAGTATGTTTTCTAAATGCAAGAAGATAGAGACATAAAACAAAAACGATGTCAAATTAGAGAAACAATATGATAGTTTTGTTATAATGAGATGCACTTTACTTGAGACGTAAAATATTTTCTAAAGGAAAGTAAAGTCATGTAATACCTTATTTGAAATATATTATTATATTTACGTCCAAGCACACAGTTTTAATTTTTTTTTGTTTTTACAAAAATTACATTCTTGATAATCCTCGTGTGCCGCAATAATTTTAGAAATGTTAGATAATGTTAGAAGTGAATTTTTTAATAAGCTTTTTTTGCCAAGAAGTTATGAAAAATTTAATACGTCAAGTGATTTTTAAATCACCTTTGATATTCTTAATTTATTTATTTTAGGTAATATAAGAAGCATTTCCTTAGTAATAAACAATAATTGTTAAAACGAGAGTTATCAAGAATGTAACTTATGCGTAAAGGCCCAGAACATGTCTTTATAAGAACAAAGTACCAGCTACAAAAAATTGCCATTTGTGCAGTGTTAAATCTCTCTAACAGTAAACAATTACTTAAATTTATAAAAGATACTGACATTTACTCTGTACTAGCCAAAATGTTAATTATCCATTGTATACTATTGTAAAACACAGCATTTATAAGGTATTATACCTCCGCTAATGATCCTTTGAGGTTGAAGCGGTAAATAAAAAAAGAACTTAACATACTTTATGAATTTATTTAATGTAATTTCTACCCTACTTTCCATTAGAAAATTTAAAGCTAGTAACTCCCTCTATCTTACGTGTCTCAAGTAAAGTGCATCTCGTTATAACAAAAATCTAATATCTCTTGAATTTTAACTCGTTTTTCTTTTGTCATTATCTTTTTTAATTTAGAAGTTAAAATAGAGGAGGGTACAATTTTCGTCTTCAGTGTATATAATACATTCGTTTGTTTTACCTTTTCTTTGAGAGTTTTTCGAAAAAACGCTTAAAAATTTTCAACTTATCTTCAAAAGTAACATCAGAAAAGCAAAATGGATTAAATATAAGAAATGATTGTATAAATTTAAAATAAATGAAATGATAAATATTTTTTCTTATAAATCACTAGTTATAAAATCCTAATAACAGAAATATCATTTGTTACCATTTAATATATATAGAATAGGTGTGTTATAGTTAACTTTTTGACTATCTCGAAATCTAATATGTTAAAATTTTAAGTTACGATAAGCAATTGAATATTTCAAACAAGCAAAGAGAAAATTGTTCGAGAGAGCCCGAGAGAGCTCGAGAGGAACGAGAATTTCTCATATAGAGATGACACTCTCTCGTCTCGTCTCGAATCTGTTTTCGAGAGAAAATGTCTTCTCGTCTCGTTCGAGACGAGACAAGACGAGACGAGACGAGACGAGACGAGACGAGACAAAACGAGACGAGACGAGACGAGACGAGACGAGACGAGACGAGACGAGACGAGACGAGACGAGACGAGACGAGACGAGACGAGACGAGACGAGACGAGACGAGACGAGACGAGACGAGACGAGACGAGACGAGACGAGACGAGACGAGACGAGACGAGACGAGACGAGACGAGACGAGACGAGACGAGACGAGACGAGACGAGACGAGACGAGACGAGACGAGACGAGACGAGACGAGACGAGACGAGACGAGACGAGACGAGACGAGACGAGACGAGACGAGACGAGACGAGACGAGACGAGACGAGACGAGACGAGACGAGACGAGACGAGACGAGACGAGACGAGACGAGACGAGACGAGACGAGACGAGACGAGACGAGACGAGACGAGACGAGACGAGACGAGACGAGACGAGACGAGACGAGACGAGACGAGACGAGACGAGACGAGACGAGACGAGACGAGACGAGACGAGACGAGACGAGACGAGACGAGACGAGACGAGACGAGACGAGACGAGACGAGACGAGACGAGACGAGACGAGACGAGACGAGACGAGACGAGACGAGACGAGACGAGACGAGACGAGACGAGACGAGACGAGACGAGACGAGACGAGACGAGACGAGACGAGACGAGACGAGACGAGACGAGACGAGACGAGACGAGACGAGACGAGACGAGACGAGACGAGACGAGACGAGACGAGACGAGACGAGACGAGACGAGACGAGACGAGACGAGACGAGACGAGACGAGACGAGACGAGACGAGACGAGACGAGACGAGACGAGACGAGACGAGACGAGACGAGACGAGACGAGACGAGACGAGACGAGACGAGAGACGAGAGACGAGAGACGAGAGACGAGAACCTCTCGTCTTGCGGCATCACTAGACTTCATAAAAAAAATATATCTAGGTAGGGTCCGATTACAATTAGAAGAACATAGCTACGTCATCATTTATCAAAGTTATTAATTAGTTATCGTTGTCTACTGGGGGTTTAGAGGAGTATTAATATTATAGAAATATAAGAAATATTGTTTTATACCTAACAACTTAATTATTTTTTATTTATTGATAGTTATCTATAGATAATGAATATTCGAAATTCGAAGTAATGGTTATGACGTAGCTGTGTTCTTCTAATTGTAATCGGATCCTACATCAAAAAATTCCAATCCAAAAAATAAAATCGACCTGCCCGATTTTTATTAGGTACTTGTCCAATAAAGCCAGAAATCAGGTATTTTACCTATTTTTCCCAACCGTGAATGTATAGAGTTCCTTTTATGCTTTGTCAAAGTTTATCGGGCGTATAAATTTAAATAAAACGACTTATAATTTGTGGAAAATAGATTTATAGTATTTCTCAGTTGACTACAAAAAGTGGCACGTCGTCTTTTTTGTTGGCTATTTGTAATTGGGTAGGTACAGGGAAGGATGATAAACAACATATACTATGTCCTGGTGGTGGAAGTGGTCACGTGACTTGTCAAATTCAAAGTAAAGTTGCTTATCGATGAATTTTTTCTTTTATGCTGACAATTAAATATATGATTTCACACGTCACTAACAATAAAAAAAATCCATTTGAAAGCATTTTCTGTCGTCAACTTTTGCTACTTCCGGGGTAGGGATTCCGGTAACGTGACCAAATATTTATTTTTTTCAACGAAATTCGGGATACAGCTTAAACGCGGTTTTTCAGAATCTAAGATATTACAAGCATTTTTTTACATTTGGTTCCGATTTTACACCTACTTATTTCAAAAAACATACCACTTTTCGCCGGAATCCCTACATCGGAGATAGCAAAACCGGTCAACAGAAAATGCATGCAAAGGGATTTTTTCTCGTTATTGACGTCTGGAAGCATATATTTTATAACCACTAAAAAAAGGAAAAACCCATCGGAAAGCACATTTACTTCGAATTTCATAGGTCACATGACTGCTCCCACCCCCAGGACATAGTACATGTTGTTCACCCTCTCCCCTGTACCTGTACCCAAAGCCAGCAAAAAAGGTGACGTGCCATTTTTTGCAGTCAGCTGAAGGACCATTATTTTAATAAGTACTAATTACTACCTAACCTGAATGAGCAAAAGAGAACATAGTAACAATATATTTTGACCATATAGTCAAGAGTTAAGATCTATAATTGCTTGTAGTGGTGTTGTCGTAAAAAGTGCTGTAGGAAAAGTAGGGACGACCACCCAGGCACAATATTTCTTGATAGATCTTTAGGACCTCTCTTTTATACACAAGTAACACAAAAAGTTATAATGTAAAGATTATACTGACGTTGCAACAACTTTTCTTAAAACTTAATAACTTACATATTCTAATACACTGTACCGTTATTATACCGGGTGTTGCATCGTCGAGCAAATTATAAAAGCGAGTCAAACAAGTACTTCTTGATAACCAGCGCACTTTTGTGTGAAGCAACAAACGGTTGGAATCTTCATCATTGGCAACGCAATGCTGACTAAATAATCTGTCATTCAGTGAGTTATTTCTGATCTTATTAAATGCTTTGATGACATATTACAGTGAAGTGTGAAGCCGTTCATTTATATTTTTTGCAAACAAATGCTGGCAATGAATGACGCAGTGTACAACTTCTATAATAGCAGTGTATTATGTAATTTAAAACAAAAGACCCACTTAAGTAGTTTGGATAAATCTAAAGTAACTACAGTTTACAACGGTATTATTAAGAGAATATGTATCTATTTTAAGTAGTTGTAGTTCAAAAGTTATAGAAACGTTTTATCAACCACATACACTATACATTTAAAAAAAAAAAATGAATTTATTCATACGTTTCTTATTAATTAATTAACGTCGTACAATATTAAAAAGATGTATATCAGTTATACAAAAGTGTCGTTTACGTGTATTTTGTAACGTTTTGATTAATTATACTAACATTTTATAAATTTGTGTGTTACTTGGGCTGTTCCCTATCCTATCTTGACCCATGATTAAGACAATTAATTTTGTTAATGTCTTTAAATAATTATTATTTTATTGTACATGCCATAGTTTGTACTATTATCTCGCATTAGCGAAAGATAAACCTTAGGTATGTTAATTTACATGATGAAACACATATAACACAGATGAAAATTACGGTAAAAAAACAAATTTTATTAAAAAAAGCTTTCATTTCTCAGTCTCTTGATAAAAACTGGTTCCATGTCTTCTTCTTCTTCCTCTTCCTGAAAATACAGAAACAGTAAATTAAAAGTGGTTCCATAATTTTTTTTAAATTGATGTTCTTAAATACCAGGCATATTTTTAAAGAAAGCTTGAAATTGATTATTGACTATAAATAAAAGAACGTACCAAAAATGCAGGTGCATCCATTTCCATTGTTCTGTTTTGACCACCTTCTTTACATGTCAACCAGTAGGTGTCCATTAGTCCTTTTCCCTATTGACAAAAAAAATAAGTATTTTTATTATATTTTAAGCTTTTTCATGTGAAATTAAGTTATTAAACAAATTAACAAATAGGAGTATGCTAGATATAATACCATTGTTAATAAAAAAACATAAAAAAATCTTGCGATAGCTTTGCTTCGAACGACGCGTCGTCGGTTAAACAAATTAATAAAACCCCGTCTTTTTCCATTTTGTACCCCAAAAAGGATCAGAATTAAAAATTTGAATTTAAAATTTGTTTAGTAAAATCACCTGTTGTCTGTCGTCTGTCAGGGTGAAAGAACTTGTAAATTTTTATCTAAGCCGGTCATTGGTATATTTTTGACAAGATATGTATGAAAAGTACCAAACGTCAAAAAAATATACGCATTTATATGGTTTGTACTATTATTTTCTCACCTTAACATCCACAAGCCCTCTATGTTCCGTTTTGTAACCTCCAATTGAATCCAATGCTTTTTTCATTTCTAAACTAATGTGTATTTTTGAAGCTGAAAAATAAACAAGTAATTAATTATTGGAAAATTGGAAAAACATTGTTTCCAACTCGTTCGCGAAAGACTTTTATAAAACAATAACATTTCGCGGAAGCCATACTATATGTTAACAGTATTTTTCTACGATCACTATCCAAAGTAGGCTTTTGCACATATTTAAATCTAACTGGAAAGTTGACGTTTTCCATAAATTGTCATAGTTTGACATTATTGCCGCATATGGGCGGAAAGTTACTTTTTGCACATGCCTATTTTCATTAGAAAATTTCATTAGAAAGGTTTTTATTATAAAGCTAATCGGTATTTTAAAAGAAAATGTAGACTAATCTGAATCTTTTAGTTGAATATTTAATACTCAAACTCATTTCCTTAATATTTAAATGATAATTAAAATAAATTACCCTGTTTTTAACACTCATATTTAACATGTCTTGTTGGTGTAGAGCTTAGGGCGTTTGTCTTTCAACCTAAAGCTCGTGAGTTCAATCCTCAACGGTAATTTTTTTTTTCTTTAAAATTAAAACTTTTAAAACAGTGGATAAGCCATCAATTTGCGATTAAGAGTATTCTAACCGATCTCGGGAGTTATTTTTTAGATGTACTTACTAACAAATATTTTTTATGCTAATCATAAAATTATTCTTCAAGTAAGCAGGCAACACAATATACACATAACATTATTTTCGTCAAATTAACGTAGTAAAATTTGAATTGAACTATATACTTTTAATATCGTGTGATCGTAGAAAAAATCTTGTGTGTAATTCGAGCAGAAAGCTATTTGCCGATTACGATATAATGCCGCACTCGGCTGCGTGTCGCGCGGCAACTTTTTATGTTGAGCGGAAAAGTAACACTTTCCGCTCTTAATACACAAATAGCTATTTCTTTAAACTACAACTCTTTTTTACCTTCTCCTGTTGATTCCATTCTGGAAGCAGTATTAACGGTATCGCCAAATAAGCAGTACCTCGGCATCTTTGAGCCAACTATTCCAGCTACAACTGGCCCAGTATGAGCTCCAGATCTGATTTGCAGTCGTTCTGATTTTCTATGTGGAATTTTAAATTGCTTTGAGCCGGATAATAAATCCAGAGCCATACTTGCTATTTCTGTTACATGTTTATTACCTAAATAAAAAAGATCATACATATAATCTTTGTCCATTTTTCTTAAAATCTACGAAGCTCATCGAAAAACATTTAGGTTACTATTTTAAAGTAAGAAGGAAGGGATCAAATGAGTTACTTGTATATTATTTTATATTTCGATACTAGTAGAAAGAACAAAAGTATTGGAGCAGCTTGAAGGGAATGGAAGTGCCAGGTACATTAACAAATGGAATCAGAAGCTCCTATGAGGCAGTAAGATCAAAAATACAAATAGCAGGACAGAGGTCGGAGGAATTCAAAATGAAAAATGGGATCAAACAGTCTGTTTAAGGACATTACTATAGATAGGATTGTAGAACAAATAATAGGGGAAGGGCAAAAATTAAACACAGTAATTGGATGCATAAATCTACAATCTGTAAGATTAAGTAGGCAGTTATTTAAACGCAGACGCTGGGGCATCCCATGAAACAATAGAAAAATTAAAAAGATCTGTGGACCAGAGAAATTGAGGACAAGCAAATGAAAGTGAAATAAATCAAAACTGATTATAGTAAATGAAAGGTAAATAGATAACCAAATAGAACACAAGAGTAACAATCTGGGAACATTGGAAAGTATACTGGGAAGAAGATGGGGAAATAGAATCGGAAATAACAAATAGAGCGAATAATCAATCAAAATATAAAGAGTGATATACAAAAAATGTTTCTAAAATAGGCCATTACCGACAAAGACAGAGATACGAGTCATGTCTGTGATAACTATATATTGCTTCTAATTAAATCCAAACTTACACTTATACGACATTTATAATTTGAGTTAAAAATTAAATTTAACAACATAAGTATACAAACATTAATCTATGCCTGCAAAAATTGGGGAATACGCAGGAAAGATGAAATTAAAATTAATGCGATGAAATGAAACAGAAAAAATGCAGGAAAGACCAAATGGAATAGGATAAAAAAATGAAGATACTTATTAGAAAAAAATAACAAAATGAGAACCAATAGGTAATGGGAAAAATAAAACAAACTGGTAAGTACATTTACTAGACAGAATAATAAGAACAAATTCAAAATTAGGAAAACCAGACAAGAATCAAGAGGAAGATCAGAAAGAAAACGGGTAGACTAAATTAGGAAAACAGACAATAGGTGTGATAAAAACATTAGAAAGAAACAGATCTGTATGGAAAAATGGGTATAAGAGCATAAACAAGCCTTTTACGATGTCCGAAAAGGCAAAAGTAACCCGAGATGAAGAGGACCAAGATTTTATATTATATATTTGGTGAAAACATTTTTGGATAAAGGAAAGTGGGTTTAAATGAAATCTTCCTCAGGGTTTATAAAACAACCTAAGTGTAAAGAACTTAAAAAAATATACAATTTTTCTGCGTACCTACATCTATAAAATAAATTTAAATCAAGGTTTACCGTTCTTTACAGGTAATCCTGATGCTACCATATAGGAATCTCCAATAGTTTCCACTTTGTAAACGTCGTAACATTCAATCCTAGCGTCAAATTGCTTATAAATTTTATTGAGAAACGTAACAACCTAAAATACAGAAGTTATAAAGCTATTAGCCATTCCAACTATAAAATGAAGGTATGATATTACGCCGATTGATTGTACGTCACAGTGACGTATTGTGGTGGGAAGGCGGCTTTTACGAATTTGAGGTATTAGATAGTCGAAAACAGCACTCGAAAATAGATTTAAATCTACTCATGGCCAATCAGATATTCCACACCACAATACGTCATGGGCGAACTCGACGAAATTTCGTCGGCTAAGTATCATACCTCATTCCAACGACCTGTCAAAATGTTGCCTGTTGTCTGTTATACGTATATAGTTATATATACAGGGTGTCCCAATAGTGTGTGGAAGTTCGATATATCCTATATTATAGAAAATATCAAACAATGTCATTTACAAAAGTTGTAGGTAATATTAATCTGCACATTTCAAAATTATTTTTGATTATACAGAGTGATTCATAACTTCAGAATTGATCAAACCTATGTTTTTTTAAATGGACCACCCTGTATTTAATTGTAAATTTGAATTCCCCTGACTTTGCCCTTCAAGAAAATACCAACATGTATAAGGTTATACTGGGTATTTTGGAAGTTTATACCAATTTTATATGAAAATCGTACTAGGTTCAACCCTCTGTATATTTCAAAAGAAACAATAGAACATAAAAATTTTATAAGAATATACTAATTTTTTTCTAGAGCAAAAGACGTAATATAATAATATAATAATAATAATATAATATAATAATAATGAGTTTATTCAATACCAAAAAAATATTTACATGTAAAATTACAATATTATGCTGAATAAACTACGACTAATCACAGAAGCGTCACCCCAGAAGAGGCTCAGCTTGTATTGCGATATACTTATTTAGTAAGTCTTAATATTAATCTTAATTAATTAATTAATTAATCTTAATTACTATAATAATTTCTATTATCATTCGAGAACTAAAAGATTACAATGAAATTTCAGAATTAAGTGAGTTGTCAAAATCAGGAAGAATTCATAATTATATGAGTTGTCATAATCGGGTGTATTGTCATATTCGGGTGTATTGTTATAATCGGGAATATTGTTCTAATCATGTTGTCGTAATTTTATGTAATGTAATTAGGTATAGCGTCAAATTCAAGTCTATTATTTTATATTATATTATTTACCTATATTATATTATTAACACATTTTATATTATTTACATATTTGAATTTACAAACTTATGAAATATTGTTCTGTCACTTTCCCCTATCCATTTTTTAATTTTTTGTTTAAAGTGTTTGTATTGTTGTATATTTTTTAAAAAATCGGGAATTATTGAAAATATTTTAGGTGCTAGATAGGAACAGCATTTTTGACCTGCAGTTTTTTCGCATCTTGGTGTAATATATGCTCTTCTCTTAATTCTCGTTTCGTACTTGTGAGAAATGGGTTCTATTTTAATTTTTTTTTGTTTAGTAAATAATAATATTTTTAAACAAAAAATCTGCCGAATATCTAATAGCCCCGATAATTTAAATAGGGAGTTTGTGGAGTAAGTACGACTTTTCCCATATATTATTTTTATTAGCCATTTTTGAATAATGTCTACTTTTTGTAGGTAAAAGTTACTTACTTACTTACGTATACAGGGTGAGTCAAAACTCAGATACATGATTTGCTCAATGTTTTTTAAATGTAACACCCTGTATTTCATATCACTACTAAAAAGTACTCCTCTAATTATAATTTCGTTTGAGTTAAATATTGCCTATCCCTAGCGATATTCTTAGATGAAATGTTAAAAAGGGTTAATTATAACTAAATTCACAATGTAATTTGATTTAAACTCCTGTTAAATATTACATACTATACTATAGTTACTAGTTAATCAGTTTATATTTTTAAGGTACCTGGTACAATTTTTTATCAATTGAATTTATTTTTTGCGACCTTTACAACTTTTTTATATAAAATGCAATGAAAACGCTAACAGAAAACTTCAAATTTTTTGTGCATTAGGTCAAGTGGGCTTTGAAATTCATGTCGAAAGAATAATTTGACAGTTCCGAATTGTTTAAATAAAAAAATAAAATTACGTTTACTGTTCACAAGTATTTAAATTTATTGATTTGACTAATTTAAAAATGAATTTTGAAACGAATGAATTGACTGATATGATTTTAGTGCTATATAAGCTTTATAAGCAAAAATATCCTGATCGCCGACAACCTCGTAAAGAAATTTTTGAAAATCTGTTGGAAATATTCAAACGTACAAGTAAACTTTAAATAAACAAAATGAATTCAGTATTCTACTTAGTGTTACCGAAAAACCAAACACCAGTACAGGCATCATGGAAAATAAAACGGGAATAAGTAAATCATCTGTCAATAGGATACTATTATAAAATAAAGTCCATCCATACCATATCCAACGTCATCAGGAGCTTCTTGAAAACGATCTTCAAAAAAGAATAGCTTTTTGCGAATGGGCAATAGAGAGAATTAATAATGAAAATGATTTTTTTGATTGCGTACTTTTTGGGAATGGATCAACATTTCACAAAAACGGTTTCGTCAATAGACACAATTTTCATTACTATTCCACCACCAATCCTTATGAGTTAATGACACATAGCCAAACACGATGGTCTATTAACGTTTGGGGTGGTATATTAGAGAACCACATTTCTTTCATGGTCGTGTAACTGCCGGGTCTACTTAGACTTTCTGCAGAATCATCTACCACTACTATTTGAAAATGTTCCACTAAATATAAGACGCCGAATGTGGATATTACATGATGAAGCTCCTGTACATCATGCTCAACCAGTTCGCAACTAACTTTCTGAACCATAATTTTGAAAACATGTGGATTGGAAGAGATGGTCTAGTTATGTGGCCTCCCAGGTCCCCTGACCTCACTAAAGTAGATTTTTTGTGGGGTTTCGTAAAAAACGAAGTTTATAAAACTAGTCCATTAACTAGCGAGGAAATAAAGGAAAGAATAAGACAAGTGTTCGCGAGCATAGATGTACAATGTTTGAAAAACGTTCAAAGATCATTTGAAGCTAGATTACAACATTGTATTGAAGTTGGATGGAGTCACTCTGAGCAGCTTTTATAATAGCTTTTTTTTCATTTTTTAATATACTAATGTTGCATTCTAAAAAAATTAAAATAACTTATTTTTGGCTCATATTTGTTTCATTCAAATATAAAATATCTTCTAAACTGTTGTGTTTAGAGATAGGGACAAACAAACGTATAATTAAAGTACTTTTAGTGGAGATATGAAATACAGGGTGAACCTAACCTTAAAAGTAAAGAAAATAAATTCAGTTGATAATAAATTGTAGCTAGGTACCTTAAAAATATAAACTGATTAAACAGTATATTTTAAGAGGAGTTTAAATCAAATTACATTGCGAATTTAGTTATAATTAACCCTTTTTAACATTTCATCTAAGAATCTCGCTAAACTGTTGTGTTTAGGGATAGGTAACATTTAACTCAAACGAACGTATAGAATACTTTTTAGTAGTAATATGAAATACAGGGTGTTACGTTTAAAAAAATTGAGAAAATCATGTATCTGAGTTTTGACTCACCCTGTACACGTCTGTTTCGCTAGGAAAAAATTAGTATATTCTTATAAAAGTATTATTATTAATTTATTATTATTATATTATTATTATTATTATTATTATTATTATTATTATTATTATTATTATTATTATTAAGTATTATTATTATTATTATTATTATTATTACTATTAGTAAAAATGATTCATCAAAAAATTTGATGTTCTATTGTTTATTTTGAAATATACAGAGGGTTGAACCTAGTACGATTTTCATATAAAGTTTAAACTTCCAAAATACCCAGTATAACCTAATACATGTTGGTATTTTCTTGAAGGGCAATGTCAGGGGAATTCAAATTTTTAATTAAATACAGGGTGGTCCATTTAAAAAACAGATTTGATCAATTCTAAAGTTATGGATCACTCTGTATAATCGAAAATAATTTTGAAATGTGCAGATTAATATTATCTACAACTTTTGTAAATAACATTGTCTGATATTTTCTATAATATAGGATATATAGAACTTCCACACATTATTGGAACACCCTGTATATATTGCTCAAATAGGGTCGTTTTGCGAGCGGCCATATTGCCTCACAACTGCTCAATAATCAGAATTGGTTTAGCCTTTGAATTTATTAAAAAAATAATTACGTACATTTTTACTTCAAGGTATACGCTTTATGTTTATTTTGAAAAACATGGATGATCAATCTATATAACTATCTATATCATTGAGTCTGTCAAATCACCAGGCCCACAGGATTGCCATATCTTAACCTGTCATTACCCACGGGCAACCATTTTGTTTGGAATGCCTAATTATATTAGTAAAAAAATAAGCTATGAATAAATACGAATAGTTATTGAAAAATTTTATTGAATATTTGAAAAATCATTCCATGTTGATTTGATCAATCGGGCAAGACTGGACTAACAAGGAACCATTTTGCATGCAAAACAGTAAACCAAATGGTACACTGATGGATCAGAAAGCAACAGTTGAATTGAGACAGCAATAGATTACCGAGTTTAACAAAAGAAAGGCTATGGGCCTAATACTCAGATAACATTGTGGTTTTAAAATTCAAATTAGTATGAAACTGTCTTATAATATAAACCCAATCCGATTATTTGAGAAAGAGAACGACAGCTTTATTGAACAAAACAACTACTTCCAGACTATTAAATTACTATTGCAAAAGGATAATACTTATAAGGGTGCTAGAACACAGTGAAAAAATGTGGTTTTTAATGACAATAATTGTTATTAAGTAAAAAAAAAAGATTTTGTTCATTCAGATCAAAATTATAAATAATTTAAAATATTTATTTTTATCTAAATGAAATATTTTTCTATAGGTACAGTTTTTTTTACTTTTAAAACAAAAATAAACCAATAGTTACTAAATATTTTATTTGTATTTTAACACATGTATGTTATCTGTAACTTCCTGGTATTATAATTAAGTTGGAAATTAACTAATAGATACATTAAACAATTGGTTTATTTTTGAAGAAAACAATTTTATTATTAAGTTTTGTTCATTATAAATTACCAATCCCTTACATCGCCATTATTGCATAATACTAAAAATGAAATAAAAGTTTTGTTAAAATTGTATTAAAAATACACTGGCGTAGAGATAAATGGGATACTCAGTATTGTCGCGTGAGTCATTTTCGACCAGTTCGGTCCTGCTCTATTCTCTTAAGTCCCTTATTTAGACCCCTTACGGCCTAAACTTTTCCGATTATCAAGAATATCCAACGAAATGAAACAACCCTGAAATACCCTTTATAGAGATACCAATGGTTGCCAACAGTTAGACTTGAATCATGACGAGGAATCTAGAGATTCGAGCTGATTATAGAAAATGGCGAATGCACTATATTGGCCAGTGTAAGAGGTGACTTCTAGAAATTCGAGATGTAAAAAATCAGGGCAGCTACATCTCGAATAAACAAACACAGATGCAGATGTAGTAGATGTGTCCGATGTGGATAAAGAAACGCTCCAGATTCAAAAAATGTATCGGATGTCGATATTCAAACTCAGCAATAGTTATACAAGTTTTATTTAAACCAGTTTTTTGAAAATACAGTAATAACGATGATAAAGGGTTGGTAACTTAGAATGAATAACCCTAGTTTAACACTATATTATCCTGTTTATTCGTTAGGCGACATTTTTCAACTTAACACTTTAAAACACATACACACACCTCCAAAGGTGTACTAACGGCAGCTATCTCTGTAAATCCCACGATATCGCTAAAATATACAGTTACGGAAGCGTAGTATTCTGCAGGTACCTGAAAATATACGAGTAATAAAGAAAACGGTTAAATTAAATTTTGCCAAAAACTAAAAATATTTTTAACTGGCTATTTGGCATAAATTATATGTATACATTTACTTGTAAAAAACTGAACATCTAAATATTTTATACCAAATTTGATGGCTCAACCTTTTAATTTGTTATACTATTTTTCGTGTTTGGCACTAAAATTAAATTTAATTATCATTCTGGAACACGATGATAGGCCAGCGTCAATAAAGGATTCACACAGGATAAATTAAATTGATTCAATACACGTAATAAATCAAATAATAGGCAAGGATTTAAATAAGCCTTTGACTCGATAAAAAGAATAAAACATTCCAACACTTAGGAATATCAAAAAAGTTAAGACGGTTAGGTAATAACAATGACAATGCAAAACTCTAAAATCTGTATTAAAACACAAAATGAAAGAACATAAGAATTCATAATTAATAAAGAGATATAGAAAGGATAATCGTTATCAACCACGCTGTTCAATCTCTCTCTAAGTAGTAGTAAATAAGAAAAAAAACTAGTGAGATTAGATAATAAAGCAGCAGCAGAAAGTATTAAAATAGAAATACATGAATTCGAAGAAGTAGAAAAGTTTAAAATATTTGGGAATCACATAGATAAAACTGAAGATAGGAAACATGAAATTCTATAAAAAATAGTCACTACAAATAAAGTCATCCAGGCAACATAAAATTAGTTTAAAACAAATTACAAAGAAAACCAAAACACAATAATCAGACCAATATTACTATACGCAGTAGAAACAATGAGTATGACCAAAGAAATAAAATTTATTTATTATGAATAATTATACGAGAAATGATAATACCAATTAAAATCACAGAAGAAGAATAAGGAACTAGAACAAAATGAAAAAATTAAACATAAGCTAAATCGACATTACTGTGACTTACGTAAACATGAAAATATATTTTTTTTATTATTATTTTGACATATAAATTAACGTTTTTGGGTCCTTGTTTATCGATATGGAAAAGAAGAAAGTAAGAATATACTTAGAGTGCACTGAAGATTCCAAAGTTTTGCAGACAAAATAACAGTTCCTTTGAGAAATAAATATTGGTTCTTTCATAAACGGTCAATGACGGCGTCATTTTCCATTGTATTTAATAACAACTTTTGTGTCATTTACAATCTCAAGTGGACGACCGTTGTATGCAAGCGAAATTTGACAAAAATGTGTCTATTTATAAGTGTTGAAATTTTGTATTTGTTATATAATAAATTCGAAAATTTAGAGCTAAAATTAAAGCCAATTGAAGATAGGTTTGAACATTTTGACAAAGAAATTAATGAAAATATATCTAATATAAAAGAAACCAACAAGAAGTTAGAGAATGTATATAAAATTCAAAAGAAAAATACATTAAGAGTAGATGGAATTCCGGAAACAAAAGGAGAAGATGTATTAAAAACTTTCTTAACAATTGTAAGCGATAAATTCAAAATACACTGTGAAGATCGAGATATTAATGACATTTACAGGATAGGAAAAACCCAACAAAAAGGAAGAACCCGAACAGTTATTATCCAATTTGTTACGTATCTTAAGAAAAAAGAAATATACAGGGTGTTTTTAAAGTTGGGTCATTTATTTTAACAGAACTCGTCAAAAGAAGTCGCTGTACCAAAAATCACCTAAATAAAAGTTGCATAATAAGGGAGTTATAGGTTTTTTAAAATTAAAAACATTCATTATCGGTAAAATGTATTCCATTTTTACAAAAATTGCTTAAAATTGTCACCATTTGTCCGATTAATGCATAGTCTTGCTCGGCGTACCCACGACTCCTGACAGGCCTCAAAAATAAAATCCTGATGTACGCGAATAACATCACAAGCATTTACAATGCGGTCTTGAAGTTCTTCCACAGTATTTACTTCTCCATCATAATACACTAACTGTTTTAAATAACCCCACAGAAAAAAATCACAAGGCGTTAGGTCTGGGGAGCGTGCAGGCCAAGAAACGGGTCCTTTCCTCCCTATTCATCTATTCGGAAACTGTTCATTCTAATATTCAAGAACTCCTCTTCTGAACTGCGGTGGAGCTCCGTCATGTAGAAACCACATATCCTGCCTAACATTCAGTGGAACATCTTCTAATAATTCTGGCAGATGGTGTCGAAGAAAATCTAAATAAATGTCACCGGTTAGCCGAGGTGGAAAAAAGTATGGTCCAATAAGCATGCCATTTACTACACCAGCCAAACATTTAATGATAACCTATGTTGGAAATTAGATCTTCTTACGGCATGCTGATTTTCTACTGCACAAACATGATTGTTGTGAAAATTGAATATCCCATTTCGTGTAAATATGGACTCGTCTGTAGCTAAAATTATTTTCGTAAAATCTTCATTTCTGTTCAACTGTTGTAAAAACCACTGGCAAAATTCAACTCTTCTAGGATGATCTTCAGGTTGTAATGCTTGTACCCGTTGATAATGATAACGATAATATTGTTCCTGTCGTATTGTTTTTCACACTTTACTATGGGAAACATCGACTTGAGTTACTATGGCTCTGGTACTTGTTGTTGGGTCATCTTCCACCATTTCCAAAATATTTTCCTCAATTTCTACCATTTCAGGTGGAGCAGGTCTTCCAGCGTGACCCCCTCGTTGTTCTTTCAAGTATCCTGTCTCACGAAGTCGAATAACTAAATTTACAAACATCCGTGGAGCCGGATGATTTCTTAATGGAAACCTTTCCGCGTAAAGGCGACATGCTGCGGCTGTATTTTGTTGGCACTCTCCGTATGTTAGTATTATGTCCACTAGTTCATTGCTTCCATAAACGTAGACCATTTTTCCGTACAAAATATTAAAAAAATAATTAAAGTGATACGAACTAAACGCTTGATACCAATAACTAACCGAAAAACGTTCTCAAAACCGTAAAACAAAAAAAATAGCCATACCTAGATAAGTAAAATTGTCGTAGTAAACAAACAGCGATAAGTTTTTACTTGGCAGTGGTCAGGGGCTCGATTCTCGAGATTGGAAAATTTTCCCATGGGAAAATATTCCACTACTTATATTCCCATAGTAATAGGTTATGCAATTCTCGAACGTGTCAGAATAGACATTCCCATGGAAATAGTAGTTTCACGTATGTCTGATATTAAGTCCACGAATATTTCGAAACAACCAATAACATTAAAGATATTTTAAAATTTACTGTTGGCAATATTTGTATTTGTTGTGGTTTTTGGGTATCCGATTACCTGCCGAGCCTCCGCGCTGGAGCAGGTGCCGTGCCGAGCAATCGCTATCATGATCGAGAAACAAGTGAAAATATTCGATTACGTATAATAATTAAAACTTGTTATTCTTAGTTTTTCTTTTCTCATGTTAAAAAAAGAAAAGGTAGCTTTTGTATGGAAGAGCAACGAAAGTTTTGAGAAACTAAGAAATTCTTTCATTAACGAAAATAATAAAATTTTCGAAAAGGTCTTATTAAATTTACTACACTCAATTTGTGTTATTTGCCAGTCCCTTATAGCAGCTCCCACAATTTCTAAATGATTTAGGAAAATCAGTTTATACAGAATTAAAAATAATATACCTACATAAATAAAATAATATCAATCTATAAATACGCCAAAAAAATGTTTTAACTACAATTTCACAAATCCAAGATATCCAATAATCTTTGGTTATGTCTTAGACTTTCGCGTGGTCTTTCGTCAAATTTTCGACTTTAATGCGCAAACTCTAGTACAATTCCCATTGGAAAACACAATTTCCAATGCTCGTAAGCAGGGGAATATTTTCCCATACTTCTCATTGGAAAATATTCCACCGCTTATGTCGAGAATACGAAAACTTTATTTTCCCATGGGAATAAAAGTCGAGAATTGACCCCCAGGAATATTAAAATATGCGGATAAATAGTTTGTATTCGTTTTAGTTTTCAAATTTTGAAATTCCTATTTATTTCTTTTAATATGCAACTTTTATTTAGGTGATTTTTGGTATATCGACTTCTTTTGACGAGTTCTACAAGTTGTTAAAATAAATGACTCAACTTTGAAAACACCCTGTATAAAGTTAGGAAGCATTAGCAGTTATTAAAATATACATAAACGAGGATCTTACTAAAGAACAATACAAGCTAAAAATATGGCAATAAAGTTGTTTGGATTGATAATGGAAAAGTTTTAATAAAAAAACAGAACAATATTCAAGTTATTCATTCTATGGAGGATGTAATATAAATAGAAACCAGTTCGCTGTTGGCCTGCCGCGCATTTAGCCTATTCGCCACCCTTGACCTGGTCGTCTTATCAGATAGCTTGTTTTGCATGGCATTTACTTCAAAACTATTAACATTTTTTTTGCTTTGTATAAATTTTGTTTTATTTCAATAATCCAAAATTAAGTTTCATTTTATTTAGTGATAGTTTGGATATATCAGAATGTATAATTTAAAATAGATGTGACTATACAACCGATCACAAGAATTTATCAAATTTTTAATTAAATATTTCAATACTTTTATTATTTTCATTCTTGTAATACATTATTTAAACAATGAGATTTTGGGTCATTATTACAGTTTTTTGTTTTTGTTATATATAAATATATATTATTATGATTTTGGGTAACTAATAACTAACTACTGAGAAGTTCAAATATATTCAGCTTGTTTTGCATGGCATTTACTTCAAAACTATTAACATTTTTTTTGCTTTGTATAAATTTTGTTTTATTTCAATAATCCAAAATTAAGTTTCATTTTATTTAGTGATAGTTTGGATATATCAGAATGTATAATTTAAAATAGATGTGACTATACAACCGATCACAAGAATTTATCAAATTTTTAATTAAATATTTCAATACTTTTATTATTTTCATTCTTGTAATACATTATTTAAACAATGAGATTTTGGGTCATTATTACAGTTTTTTGTTTTTGTTATATATAAATATATATTATTATGATTTTGGGTAACTAATAACTAACTACTGAGAAGTTCAAATATATTCAGCTCAGTTGTTGCGGAATCAATGAAACAAAATGGTATTTAAGTAATACCTTTGTATACTTTATATTAATTTTTAAGTTTTTAAGTATAAAGCATATATTTAGTATTTAATTTTAATTTAATATTCTCATGACAAAATTTTCTTTTGCTTTTTTTAATGCTCAATCTCTTTGTAATAAATTTAATGAATTTTAAAACATATATTTTGCGCGAAAATTATGATGTTTTAGGTATTGGAGAGACCTGGTTTAATAAAAATATTCAAGATTACATGGTGCACATCGATGGGTACATAAGAAACGATAGGGATTCGAGAGGAGCTGGGATTGCAATATATGTTAAATCTAATTTGGCATTTAATATTTTAGAAATAGAAAATAGACTAAATAGAGACTCTGTAGAACAACTATGGATAAGCTTTAAGCTGTATAATCGTAAATTTGCCTTTGGAAATTTATATCAACCACCGGATAAAAGCGTAAGTGATTTTTTAACTGACCTTGAAGAAAATCTTGCCGACATTTATACACAGTTTGATGAAATTATTTGCGGAGGTGATGTTAATATCGACTCATTAAGTGGGTCTTCAAACAATGCAGTTAAATTTATTAACTGTGCAGAGTTATTTGATTTACAGCAAATTATAACTGAACCAACACGGATAACAGCTACTAGTGAAACTCTGATCGATGTCATATTAATATAAAATCAATATAACTCTTATAATCACGGTAATAAGGAGCTTTATATATCTTCCGATCATCAATGTATTTATTGTATATTGAATTTCGAAGTTAGTAATTGTAAGAAAGTTATTTATTCTAGGGATATAAAAAATATTGATAAAAATTTACTACAAAACTTTTTAAATATGGCTCTCCCTTTGAAGAAATTTTTTGGCTGGATAACCTAAATGATAAAGTCTCTCATTTTAACAATCTGCTGATTAATATATTTGATACACTTGCTCCTGTAAAAGAAAGAACATTTAAAAAATGTAATTCTCCGTGGTTCCCAGATAATATAAAATTAATGATAAAATTAAGAGACAAGGCACTTAGCAAATTAAAAAAAACAAAAAATCCAGCTCATTATCAATATTACAAGGAATTAAAAAACTATACTACCACGGCTATTAAAAACGAAAAAAAAAAAAAAGGTTAATTTAAATATTGTGTTGATACATTTGGTCGAAATAGTAGGGTAATGTGGCAAAACGTAAGAAGCTTGAACATATTTTCAAAACCTGTTAAAAGTGAATTACCCGCAAATTTAAATCATCCCAATGAAATAAATAATTATTTTATATCTGCAACTTGCAATCAAAACCCCGCTGATCAGGACTTGCTTCTTTTTTATAATAACTCTAAAGTAAATTTTCAGGAGCCGCTCAGTTTCACAGCCGTTAATCAATGTGTTGTTTATAAATATTTACTGGAAATTAAAACTCAAGCGATGGGAGTTGACAATTTGCAAATGTCTATGATTCTGCTGTGTTGTCCATATATTCTAATTTTTATAACTCACATCATGAATACTTGCTTGGAGCTATCTGTTTTCCCAGAAAACTGGAAAATATCAAAAGTGCTTCCATTGCTAAAAAAATCTAATATAAGTAGTATTAATGAGCTAAGGCCTATTTCAATTTTACCGGTTTTATCAAAAGTATTAGAAAAAATTGTTAAATATTATATTGAGTTACTCATTAAAAATTATAATATCTTACCAATTAGTCAGTCTGGTTTTAGGTGTGGTTATAGTTGTACAACTGCCTTATTGGAGGTTACAAATGATATTTTTAATGATATAGACAAGGGAAATACAGATGTTTTAATATTGTTGGATTATACAAAAGCATTTGATACCATTAACCACAAATTAGTTTATAGCATTCTACATTATGTAGGGTTTTCTAATAAAGCTATTAAATTTTTTAAAAATTATTTATCAAACCGTGTTCAATTTGTTGAAACAAATTCTGGAAAATCAGATATAAAAAATATCACATGTGGTGTGCCCCAAAGATCTGTATTAGGTCCGGTTTTGTTCAGCATTTATGCAGGTAACATTTGTACAATTCTTGACAATTGCAGGGCTTATATGTATGCTGATGACACACAAATTATATTTACTGTTTCGGAATTTAATAAAAGTACTTACAAACGAATTCATTAATTCAGAATTACTAAAAGTAGTCTCGTTTTCGAAAAGGCATCAGCTTATTATTAATCCTACAAAATCCTATAAAAAGCAAATTTCAAGTCAATTATCGATAAGTATTAATGGCATTAGTCTTCCTTGTGTTGATGTTTGCTAAAAATCTGGGTTTTCAGTTAGATACGGATTTAAGATTTAGAATACACGTCAATAACTGTATAAGAAAAGCATACGCAAATTTAAAAATGCTTTTTCCTCTCATCGTCATGTACTAGATCAAAAAACAAAAATTTTATTGTGAGATACTATGGTTCTAAGTCAAGTCATTTTAATTATTGTGATGCCATTTACGGTCCTTGCATAGATAACTTAGATGCCAATCGAATTCAAAGAGCTCAAAATTCTTGTCTTCGTTACATATACGGTATTAGAAAATACGAAAGGATCAGTTATAAATTAAAGGAAGCTAATTGGTTAATTATGGAAAGTAGAAGGCATTCTTCATATGGTAACATTTTTTCATAAAATAATAATATTTAAATCGCCACCCTATTTATATAATAAAATTTCATTTCGCAGCGATGTGCACAATGTGCGCGTACTAGATTTAGGGGGCATATCTCACCTCCTCACCATCGGACCTTTAAGTTCCAGGCATCGTTTTCTTATATGGTCTTTAAACTTTACAACCAGGTTCATTTGTAGGTACATTTAGGGAAAAATATAATAATTACTTACATACAGGTATTTCAGAATATTTAATTATGTTTAGTTATGTTTAAATGTGTTTAATTATAATTCATTGTATTTAAATTAAGTAGTATACAATGCGATATTAATTTATAAAAAATAATTTAAGGGATAGCACTTTGTATCAGCTCTGCTGTCTGCTGTCTCTTTTTTTGTAGCATGATTTTATTTTAATGTATAATATGTAATTTTATTTATCAATATCATTCTACAAATAAACGTTATTATTATTATTATTATTATCTGACTTTTATTCGATCAAAAAAGTGGTAAATAAATGAACAAAAGTAAAATAGCTTTTTCAATTTACTCTTTCCCAGTTTTCAAATATTAATACCTGTATAATCAGGCAACTGTGTAACGATTCGAAGGGTTGGAGTGGGGGGACATGCGCATTAGAAGGACTAGAAGGACCGTAAATTACAATATTACCGGTTTTTAATATTTGCACACCTAAGTTGAGTTAAAATTGTATTTATTATTATTTTATTTAAAAAACAAAGTGAATTTGACCAAATTTATGATATCCGTAAAGTCGACTGCAAACGAAAATTTATACAAAATAAGGAAAATAAGACAATTAAAAACATTGTAATAATAAAGCAATAAAAATCTCATACCTGTCTCGTTTGCTTTAGCTGTGTAGCCACACTAGGTGGCAACATTTGAAAAAGCAATAAGTCGCTTTTCCGTTTCTCTCTCTTCAGTTCCTTAGCCTTTTTGGCTAGATTGGCAGCGTATAACTAAGCAATTCGTTAAAAACCTCTTTATTCTTTTAAGAATGTAGAATGTACCTACCTGAATAGTTTCGACAGCATTTCGAACCAGCCAAATTATGATAGGTGAAAGTGACAGCACTAGTACTAATACTGCGATACCAAGGGCTTCTGTATTTGCAGAGTCATGGAGGTTCTCGTCTACATAGTCTCTTAAAAATATTAACCAATGTTATTATGACTGTAAAATGAATCTTTTATCTTTTTAACTGATATTAAAACTTTGGAAAATTGAGTATGATGTCACTAATTATTCAGAACTGGGAGATTAAAATAGTCCCTTCATTTAAGGTTTATATGGACCTCCGGAAAAGTACCTACAAGGTCAAAAATTTAGAAACATGTTGAGACGGAATATACAACTTTTAGTATTATTTTACCAATATTTATTCCAGCTTGATTCAACGCAAAGAAACTAGAATATCAAAAGAGATACTTATTTCATAAAATAAATTAATTTTGATATAGAAACTTAGGTAGGTAAGTACATAAGCTTTTTGAAAATTATTGAATTTGTCAAAATGACGTAATTGAAAGATATATTTTCTTTCGCAAAAATTACTTTGATTTAAACTATAAAAATGAATGTATATAAAATATACCTTTAGTAATTATATTTGAATACATTGACCTCAAAACAATAAGTTTTTTTATATACAGGATGTTTCTAAATTCATGCGACAAAATTCAGGAGGTGATTGCTCGTATGAAACTAAGATGGGTCTTTCGTATAACAAAATTTCCTCAGCTCACCCCTTTCCGAGATATCACCCTTAAAAGGTAGTGACTAAAATGGAGTTTTTATTTTTTTTCTAAAATTTCAGTAAAGCTTCTAGCTTTACTGAAATTCTGTAATTTTATTTTGGCTAGAGGTGGTCATTTCCAGCATTTATTATGAATCGTATTACATTTTGCATCTTTACTGTTTTCCACTCAATTTATTAAAAAAATTATAAATTATGGTGTTTATATTTTTTCTCTGCAGCTATTGGTTTTGGGAAAAAAAATTAAAAATATTTTTTTTTTAAATAAAACAAGGATTTCAAGTTATAATTTTATTTCATAAAACTTCATCTCGAAAAAAGTTTTGATATGAGATAAAGTAAGGGTTGCTAATTTCACCCCCCTATAATGTAACAGGAATATTGAAAAAATACCCGTGGTTAGTCCTTTTTGAGTGCACGAAAATTACAAAATTTCAAGTTTCTAGCTCAACTGAAATTTTAGAAAAAAAATAAAAACTCAATTTTAGTTCACAACCTTTTAAGGGTGATATCTCGGAAAAGGGTCGGCTGAGGAAATTTTGTTATAGGAAAGACCCATCTTAATTTCATACGAGCAATCCCCTCCTGAATTTTGTCGCATGAATTTGGAAACAATTTGGAAACAATTTTTATCACATTTTCCACATCTGGTATTTCTTACAACTACCTTTTTAATCATAAAAGTGTATTTTTTTAAATATTTTATGGAGACGTCATATTATATTGCAAGCACTTAATTTTTAGAAGCCGGTCGTCATTTAATTTCATAAAATGTATTCATGTGGAATTGATTTTGAGTCATTGTCTTATCTTTAAGGTACACATAAGAGCAGTTATATATCCCTCTTCAGTTACCCTGTATATTATTACGTTTTTCTATTCTCGTCTATTATTCGATTCCAAAAATGTATACCTGATGTTACTTATCAGACTGTTTTAATTTTTCTTGTTTCGGAAGGGTTAGATAAGGTTTTATTAGATAATATGGAGAGGTTAAATTTTGATTTAATATCATCATCATCATCATCGGAGAGTGATGTTGAAATTCCACGAGTGCGAATGGTGAGGCCAAGAAATAATTTAATTGAAGAGTTTGAACGAAAGGACTTTAAAATGAGATTTAGTTTGAATAAACAAACAGTTCGGGTTCTGGCAGATTTATTGGAAGATATTGAAGAACCCACCAATAATAAAAACCAACCAGTATCATAAATAAATAAAATTTTAATAGTCCTCAGATTTTATGCCACTGGATCAATTGAAATAAACATAAGTGATTTGTTTTTTGTTTCACAATCTACAGTCTCGAGGATTATTTATGAAGTAACAAGAAGCATAGCAGCACTTCGTCAGGTAGTTTTATCATTTTACCGTGTGGATAGGTTACCAGGTGTTATAGAAGCACTAGGTTGCACCCATCGGAAAATTTTATTCCCAGGAGGAAATAATGCAGAGGTGTACCGTAATCGAAAGGGCATTAATACACAGGTTGTTGGTAATGCAAATCTAGAAATTATTGACATAGTGGCTCGTTGACACAATCATTTTTAATGACTCTCTCTGATAAGAGCCAGGTTTGAAAATAATGAGTTCTACCCATATATTCTTCTTAGAGATGGTCGATATCCATGTAGGGTATATTTATTAACACCACTAATTGATCCTCAAACTCAACCTCCGCAAAACTATAATACTGCACAAATTCGATCAACAAATACTATTAAACGTGTATTTGGAGTATGGAAACGAAGATTTTCATGCTTATCATGAGGGATGAGAATAAAAGTGGAACGTGCATGTGAAGTTATAGTAGCAACTGCAGTTTTACATAATCTTTGTAGGCAAGAAAATGATATAATAGACGATTTGCCAGAAGTAGATGCAGACATTTCTAATATATAGATAGTGCATTATGACCCTCCTCTACTAGAGACTCGTTAATAAACACTATTTTCCAATAAAAAAATTCAATTACCTGTCTTATTTTCTTATTAAAAAACATTTGTTTTAATTTAAACTGAACAAAAATATTTTTATTTGAACACAATTAAAATGATCAAACAATAACAAATCAGCATTCTATGTACATATTTTATATACCTATACATAAAAAAAACATTTATTCTAATAAAAAATATCGCAGTGAAAATACAAAACAAACTTATAACCTAAAGGAACATAAGGCAAAAAATATCACTTTTTGTGAGATCAAAATTATGAAAAACTAAAAAAACACAAAAACACAGATAAAATATTTAAAATTTTAAATCAGTGATTTAATAACAGTTTCTCATACTCTGCTTGTTTAATTTTTAATTTGATGTTTCTTTCTTTGTTTTTTTTTTTAATTTCGTTATCCAACCTTTTCCTTTTCATTGTTTCTTTCTCACTTTCCTCAACTAGGTTTAAAATGTCCATTTTTTTTCTTCAATACTTCACACTTTTTGTTTAATAAAACTGTAGCAGGAGATCTCCGAATCTGATTTATACCAGGTACTTTAATATTTGAAATCAACTTTTGTTTTATTTTAGGAGGTTCCACAGTTTTATGAGCATTGTTATTTATACTGTTCATATTATTTTTATCCACATCTTGCAGCGGCGAATCAGCCCTAAAAGAAACTGGGAACGTATCTATTGAACAGGAGGTGTGTCTTCTCCAGTACCTTCATCTACAATAAAAATAATATATTCCTCTTCTTTATTATAGTTACTGGGTCCAGGTTCTATAACTGTCGAGTTACTATCAAACCTATTCTCTATGGAAAAATAATTTTCCTCTAATAGCCCTAATATTTTACTATCAAGGTGTTTTCAGTAAATTTTCCACCTCCTGTTTTGTGTTGTTCGACCTAAAACATTTACAGCCGTATGTATAGTCGATCGCCAACGACTCGCCAGAGATTCATTTCGGCGTATCGCCAGCGATTCGCTGGCGATGCGCCGACGAAAGCCCAAAAAACTGGCGACTCGCCGGAGATTGTCACCGGAATGTCATTTCACGCAAGTTTTCATGTTCTTTTATTGGGAAAAATTTGATATTCGTTCATTATTTTTTGAGTTTTAAGAAATGAATCATGAATAAAATGCGAGAGATACCGGTGATAATCCCTATAAAAGAAAATAAAAACTTGCGTGAAATGACATTTCGGTGACAATCTTCGGCTAGTCGCCAGCTTTTTGGGCTTTCGCCGGCAGATCGCCAGCGAATCGCTGGCGATACGCCGAAATGAATCTCTGGCGAGTCGCTGGCGATCGACTATGCATACGGCTGTAAATGTTCTCTTAACATATTTATTAATATTATAGTAATATTATTACAAAGGGTTTGATAAAGGAAAAGTAAATTTCTATCTATAAACATAATTTACTATTAATTTGAAGAATACTTTGTCCTGGGCTTTGTGTTGCTTTGCATTTTTTTTTTCATTTGTTTATGCAGGCCGGTTCGTAAACCACTGGTTTGATTGGTGTTGAAATCGCACGCTAATTTCTCCCAGCATTTATTTTTTTTTGTTTATTACAAGCTGCATTAGTTTTTTACTTTCAATAATGTGCAGGTTTTTTTGTACCAAGGAAATTAAAAATTCCTTTTCCCTCTCAGTTACATTGGCACTTCTTTTTCCTTTCTCCATTTTTTAAATTAGAAAATTAAACTTAAAAATAGAAACGAATGACAATATAAAAATAAAAAAATCCCTAACCTAATAAACGTAAATCGCAACATACCTAAAGTTAGGTACAAATGGCAGCCAACTTAAAAATACAGTAATATTTACGTATTAGTCTGATTTCTAACTGAAGTCGGTAAATAGATGGTGCATAGCAAATTCTGTTAACACACTGTTATTTTTTATACTACTGTTAGATAACAGAGGATTTAACTGGACAATGGTGCATAACGGCGGTTAGCTTACCATAAAAACAAATAAAGCAAAGTTTGGCAACGCTCTTGGTACCGAATCATAAAGATCTTCCGCGTAATCTATTATTGTGTTAGCAGTCTCTTTTGGCGGGGATCTAAAATAACGAAATATTTTTGTATCGCAGATAGAACCTTGTAACTTTTATAAATTGTGTACTAAATTTGATTCGACAGGTAGAGCCATCTCTAGAGTCAGAAACGAGTGAGGAGATAGGTCCATATAAACCTTAAGTCTGTTCAGCGACAGGATAACAACTATTTATATCTGATAAAGCAATGTACGAAATTTGTTAAAAATAGTAAACATGTCCGTCTAAAATGTTTTAAGTACGCAATTATTAATTACTGACCGTTAAGTTTACTTAGCAATTCGGTGAAATAGGTTAAATCCATGGCGAAAAAGAGCAGATAATAGAACACTACTGGTATTAAAGGTAATGCATCAGTAGTGAGTGTACAAATATTCTTAAGGGGTTAGGTGTAGTCAGAGACATGAAAAAATGACAATTTTAAATAATTTTTTTGCCAGTAAATTATTTTATTTTATAAAAGTAAAAACATAGCATCACTAAATAAGGTTTCGACTCGATTTGACAGAAATTTTAGGAAAAAAAAATTAAATAATTTTAAAAGTAATGGCTGTTTGTGTTGATCCAGTTCCAAACGAAGCTTGCGGCGACCATCACTTATCCTTGGAGATTCATCTAAAATCAATCGGAAAATAAAAATTATTTTTATTAATTGATAATCTAGTGCCTCATCGAAGTTTTTTAAAAATGGCGGCCTCAGAAAAATGTTTTCCATATTTTCTAAAAAAAAAAAAAAACATTTGTTTATTACCTTCGATCAGGCACTAGATTATCTATTAATAATAATAATTTTTTTCAGATGAATCTCCAAGGATAAGTGATGGTCACCGCAAGGAGCTTCGATTGGAACTGGATCAACACAAACAGCCATTACTTTTAAAATTATTATTTCTTTTTCTAAAATTTAAAACCTTATTTAATGATGCTATGTTTTTACTTTTATAAAATAACATAATTTATTGGCCAAAAAAATTATTTGAAATTGTCATTTTTTCATCTCTGACTACACCTAACCCCTTAAGTGCCGCATAGATTAAAAAACTAGAAATTCTACATAAGCAAACAAAATTATCTGCTTTCTTATGATTGGGTGTGATCTTAAAAATGACAAATATATATGTCAAGGAAATAGATACTTACTGAATTAGAACTCTTAATGTTCTTTGAATTTTTCTTAGTTCATCGGTATATGTAGCCATTGAATCAAAGTAGTTGAGTGCTTCATCATAATTTGGCTTTCTTTGTGTATTTTTGATAATGATATCGTTCCTAAACAAAAAACAATGTTTATGTAAAAACAGTTTATTTTATCGATATCGATCAAGACTACTATTTTTTTTATATTAAAGTTTAAGCTGTTCAAACATATTATTCTTGTACCTTTATCATAAAGGGTATAAAAAATTATTAACTGTATTAAAATTAGCTCGTTCCTGGCAAACTAAATAATTTAATGAACCATAATAATGCATCGGAATTTTCAATCTTATTTAATAGGAAACAATCAATAATGATGTTTATTTTAAGAAGAAAACACCACACAATTAAAAAACCATTTGTGAATAAATTTCCCGCCCAAATTCATCCTATGGAATAATTACACTATTGCCGCGTTTGAATATCCACATCCGATGCATTTTTTACATCTCGAGCGTTTGTTTCACAGATTTGGATAGAGGAGATAGGAAAAGGCCGTTTTCCCCGGTGTTTCAAAATAATCACACCATGTAGGCCGCCATGTTGGCAATTTAAGCGTACAACGCACATGCGCAGTTGTTGTAGTGTTTTGACAGAAGTGTCATTTATGTCAACTATTCTTGGTTTCTTTCGAAATTCGCTATTTTAGTGAATTTAAAAGAATTTTAGAAGTTTTTACTATAGACAATTAATAAAATGGGAAAGACTTGCTTTGTTTTTGGTTGTTTAAACAACGAGGATTCAGAAAACATTACATTCCACAAGTAAGACATCATTTCTACCAGAACCGTATTCTTCACCACAGTTTCATTTTCTAGAAAACGAAATATAGTACAATAACAAACTGTATGTAGGTATCTGACGTTGATATTACTATAATTTTTTTAGATTGAGGAAAAGGCGTATGCTTCTTGGTTAATAGCTATTGGAAGAAATCATTGGAAAATATAAGTGCAAATAACGCTATTTGTTCCTCCCATTGTCATAAAGATGATTTAATCGTTTCAAAACGAATAGATACAATAAAAAAATAATGCAATACCTTCCATAAATATGCCTAAAATTGAAGATTTTTATAACATTAGTGCTATGAGGTAAATATATACATAAAATTATCAATTTGTTTCTTTTTATACTTTTTAAGAAAGTGATAAAAAAATTTTAATTATCCCTATTATTTTTAGAAAAATGTACAACCTTCAGCTTGAACGAATATTATTAATTCAGAATCTAACGAGGAATTATAGAAGTTGCCAGTTGGTTATTTTTTATTAACGGTTTAGATGGTAATGAAAGAAGAAATGTGGTGTTATAGGCTCTTCTAAAATTGCATGAATATGAAGTTATCATCACTTAATTATCATTTGATGGATAACATTAGGTGTAAACCTATACAACTTTGATATTGACACTGCGACTCCATATTTCTTGCATTCACCATAGATAAAAGTACATTTTTTATAAATTTAGATGCATGTCACATACTTAAGTTGGCTTGGAATAACTGGGATAACCTTACTAAAATTGTTGAAACTAATGGCGAAATTATTGATTTTAATTATATAAAATTGTTGCATTATATTTAACACACAGAAGGTTTACGTTTGGGTAGCAAATTAAGAGTGCCCCATATGGATTGGAGAAAGACATGAAGGTTTGTACACTTAAACGAATTTAGAAATTACAAATACTAAGTAACATTACTATTAATTGTATAAGGAAATTTGAGAAACTGTTCTATTTACTAAATTCTCGAAATCTTTTTAGATTTCAATGGAAAATGCCTTTGTCTCAAAAAACGGAGACTATATGGATGTCTGAAATATAAGCTGCAACAGAATGTATAAAGAAACTTAAAACCTTTGACAGCAGTTATGTTATTCAGTGACCGAAGAAGAATAGTGGTGTTCTAGACTTTGTTTTATAAAGTTTGTAATAGGTTTATATGACAAATATGTAAACTGTTAATATATAAACTTAGTACAGATCACTTAGAGCTATTTTTCTGCAGTATATGGAATAGTATTAGTTTAATTGTATGATGCAATTACATTTTATTTCTAGGGCTAGGTATGGATGGAACAATAATCCTTTATCTGTAAAAATTTTCCATTCATATAGACTACGATTACTTCTGTACCATGACATTAAGAATCTTAATGGCTATTGTATTCTTTAGGACCCCATCAACATTTTACAAATGACACTAAAAAGTACAACTACAGTGCTTATAGTTTATTACTACTCTTACTAAATATAACTGAGAGAAACTTCAGAAGATTAAAAATTCTTGTAAAAGATGTACTTGTAATGTTCCTTATAGAAATCGTGTTTCTCCGTACATTCGCAGGTTAAATAAATATAAAATTTAGGAAAGCGTAAACTATCTTTTTTTAATGTTTAAAATTCCACGATATCTTACTAAAAAGATCAACTTTACACAATGTAAATTTAAGAGTGAACACTTTTACAACCCCAATGCATAGAACTTCAAAATTCCAAGGTTGTTTTAGATACGTAGCACCATTATTGTTGAATTCAGGACTTAATAATTTGAATTTTAATCATTTTGTTAAAACTATTAGGCAAGTTCTTATTTCAAGACAATGATTTAATTTAAAATAATTATTTTGTGAACATTTTTTCTGTTATAATGAGGATCAATTGAAAAACGGCTCAGCCGAATTCATTCATTTTGAGACACTAATGTATTTATAGTTGCTCAATAAACATTATTTATTTATTTAAATATAGTCAAAAAATGTACGGTATCTTAAGCCGACGCATCAGGTGTAATAAAGATGAGACGCTTAATTGTATTTGGATGTGAGAGTGATAAAGATAGTAATTGATTTTACCATACCCTTTCGATGGAAAGCATGGGCTGTTGCGGTCCACACTCATTCGTATTATTTTATTTCTCTCTATTCAATGGCATTGTGTTCCATACCTTTTTCCTGGAGCCAGGATGAAAAAGTTAAATTATTGTATTGTATTATACAGAATGTAATTAAGTTGTTAGATATTTCAGAAAACATTGTTTATATTGCAAAAAAAAGATAAAATATTCTGCTCGCCAAGATACACTTTCTAGCGCAACAGCTAATAAAAATTATTGAAAATTATTTTTTAGGACAAAATAGGGTAATATAAAACAGTTTCGGCTGTAAGTACTAGTGTAAAACTGTCGAATTATCTTAAAAAAAAAGTATTTTTAATCACATAATCAATTACCTGATAAAAAATGTTCATTTTCAATTAGTTTAAAATAAAAACTTGTTTCGAGAAATCAATAATTATAATTATCTAAAGAGTATCTACCCTTATAGGAAAATCACATATCAAGATTAATAAAATCATTAAAGACATTGTTCAAATACCAATGAAAATTTAAAAAACTAAATTTGTATTTTTTGTTCCTTATTAACTTTTATTAAATAGCTTTTTTTATTTATAATTTATTAGTGTCATTTTCTAATGTAATATAAATGTTTTATGTTTAATAACACAATATTAATATATATTTACTGTAGTATTTATTACACAAGATAAAAAAGTAAAACCCTTCGCACTTGGCAAAATCGAAGCTTCTCACAACCTCCGTCTATGTAAGCGGGTGAATTTACCGCCTTTTCAGATTCCTTTAGTGACCGAAATCGAGAATGTCTATTTCTTGCTGATGAGTCCTAATAAGGACAAAACCGGTCCAAGAATAACGTTATCTATGGTAAGCAAGAACAAAGTTTGAATATTGAAAAAGAATTTTTTAACTTTGTTGTTTTCTTTGGATATAATTTAATATCTGCTGCGGAATTAGCCAAAGAAGTAGTTGTTTTTTGAAGGAAAACGTTAAAGTTTGGATTTATTTCCCTTTTTTAATAAAATATTTGACTACATGCTTCTTATAATACCTAGTTTTAAATTTACTCTATTCTTTAGTAGGAATATGCCCATAATCTCTTATTTATTTTGATTGATGATTCTTAATGTATGCTCAAGTACATGTCATAGTACTGTGGAACGATATTACAAATATTTTTGAATTCCTTAGTTTTGTAGTTTTTATATGAAATGAAATACTTTCAAGATCTGAGCAATCACATGTAATAATTACATACAAAATTACAGTTTTTAATATGAAAGTTTTGTTTAAATCACGTGATTCCAGATTTATTTGCTACAAAATGTATGACGGCCTTAGATTGTTGTATTAATTTCATATAAAATTGTATTTTAAATATATTCTATGTTTTTATTTAATTTAAAATAAAGTTTCAAAAAAGACTATGATGTTTTTTATTTTTAGAAATCTCTTAAAATCCACAAAAAAAGAAAATTAAAATTCTATTATGAGTTTTTAAGGTTATTAGTTCTACTGTGTAAGTAAATCCTTAATATTTTCGAATTATGTTTAAATGTGTTAGTCCTATCCTGTATACTTCAATATGCAATCAATGCGCAAGTGCGTAGGTCGCTTTTTTTGTAAAGATGGCCGCCTTCAATTCTACGTGCCTGATGAAAATGACATTTCCTATCTCCTTTATCGATGTCTGTGGTTTGTTTATCCACATCGGACACATCTACTACATCTACATCTGCGTTTGTTTATCCGAGATGTAGCTGTCCAGATTACATTTTTTAAATCTCGATTTGACATGAGATGTGAATGAGATGTTCGTTCCATTCCAGAAAGTAAGTGTTCTGTGAAGCCAAGTTTATCGATTTATCCTTTTTTTATGTTAGCGTTAACATAAAAGTGGTTAGTTTGTTTAATTTTTGTTTAGATTTCAAATTTAGGTTGATTTATAGTCTCAAAACTCAAATTTAAAAAGTATAAACTTCTAACTTGTCACTGTCATTTTATCACGTGACCAATAAAGTCTAGAGCGTTTGTTTATTACTTCTACATTTAAATCTAATCCTCTATCACGCAATAAAAAATTTATAACATCTTAAATGCATCCGATGTGGTTATTCAAATGCAGCAATTGTTACAATGATGCCAAATATTGTCTAATTTAACTTTTAATGACGTTCTTAAATTAGCTGAATCTGCTTTCACAGATCCAGGATTCATGTTAAACACTTACAGAAGATTCAAAAAATAGAAATTATACAGAACTAAATGGATTAAACTGACATATATGTATATGAAGTTTCTGACACTTGGTTTATTAGAGAGTCAACCGATGTTGCAATGTGAAGGGTACAAAGATTATTTTGTTGTGGACCCTACCAAATAATGTAATCGTGTAACATTTAGAAATATTGAGAGACATACAATTTTTCACAGACCAATTATGGAGAGATTGTACATCAATTTGAAGAAGAAGACAATCAATTATATTACGAATGGCCATGTAAAGTTTTAAATTATCTGCAAAAAGTAGAAACTTGGCATATTTGAAAATACTACCAATGTCAGTGATGAATAGTAGAAACAACAAGAGCCCTAAGTGAGAGCCCTATGGGACTCCAGAAGGCACCACAATGTGGTCTGAAGTACTGCTGCCAGTCTTCACTATCTGGATCCTACCAGTTAAATGGTTTTTTAGCCATGAAATCAAAGGATTAGGAAAACCTAAAAGATTAAGTATGTATAATAACATTGAATGGTTCACACGATCGAAGGCGTTACAGAAGTCAGAATAATTTGAATCCAAATTTTTTAAAACTTTATCGAGGAATTAAATAGTAAATATAACGGACGAATCAATGTGAAAATTCATTTTTTTTCAGAAAGAATGAAGGAATTCCATCTGATCCATGGCCTAATTTATTATTAAGATTTAGTATACCATTAAGAACTTCTTGTACCGAAAATTTGATAGAAGGAATATGAAAGGGGTTTTTATTATCTAAATTATTATTAAATAAGTCTACTTTTTCATGACTGTAAGTACTAGAAAAGTGTTCAGAAAATAAATCAGCGATGCGTTGGGAGGTATTGTAACAGCCGGGAAGCTTAAAGACCACCACTTGTCACTAAATGTAACAACCAACTATCTAGGGACCATTTGTAACTACTGATAGGTCTTTAGCTACTGTTGTTAATATACTATTAAGGGATTAGGGCAGCACCGTCACCAGCCAGAGGGTCCTGGAGTCCAGAAGGAACATCCATTCACCAGTGACAAATAAAAAAAATAACAAAAAAATAAAATTAAAAAACAAAATATTATCCCTTAATAGCATATTCAAGCGGTTCTTGGTAATTGGTTTTAGACTCTTTTAGTCCTAAGGGGATTCTCAAATGTTCGGAATATTTTATTGGTTTGGAAAGGGGTGGGGGGGGGTAGAGATTAATAATAAGTATTAAAATATTAACAAATATATATTTACAAATAAGTACAAAATTTGACTGATAATCTTAAGAAAGAATGATTAAAATTACATTTAGGGAATAGAGCACTACTTGTTAATATATCCAAACTTTAAATAAAGAATCATGACACTAAATAAACATTTCATTGAACTATACAGTTTGGACTTATTAACAATTATAAATAGCACTGCAAAAACTTTAACTACATAATAATATAAAAATCTGTATAATATAAAAATGATAATCGGGACAAAAATGTAAAATTAGCATTTATATGTAAATCAATCAATTATTATTAAACAATACACTTTAAAAATAAGTTAAAGTTATTTACCCATAATTCACAAATCGCTGCATAAAAACTTTACTCTACATATTACTTTGTTTTGAGACTTAAAGAGTCCCAAAAAACGAGAGCTTTCGCCCTCGGCGAAAGTTCTGGACCTTAGTCCGCACTCGATAGTCTTTTCTTTCTGTCTCCTCTCTATATAAACCAAAATTTACGTGATGGTTGTATTTTTAAAAATGTCACGCTCAATGTAGCCGTTGACTAGAATAATAACCCGATTGTTTGTTTTATTTTCATACATGTGTTCCTTTTTAATTTCTAATTTAAAACATTAAAATACTTTTTAGAATTTTTGGTAAATTCTTTATATTTTCCAATAATAATGCCAATTATTACAGTATCACCAGTCTTATAATTTAAGAACATAGTGCCAGGCAAGGAAGAGTGCCAATTTGGAAAGTTAGAGCTATTCAATTTTTTAAGTGGAACACAACAATGTTTTGCTTTGCTAAGTATTTGGTAAAAGTTAAGAAGAGCTGAATCTAAATGCTGAAATTGATCCCAATTGATCGGTGCAAAATAATTATTTAAACTAATTTTTAAAATCAAAATATTATTCATTAGTTTTGAGTTTTTTAAACGAATTATCGATAATAAGTGTACATAAAAATGCTTTATAATGGTAACTATAAGGTAATAACAGGTCAATAGGTTCAACCAAAACTGTGAATTCCAAGAGAACATTATTTTGATTCCTAATATAACTCAATTGAAAAATAGAAGTAAACATTTGGCAATAAAATTTAGATTCTCTTGATTTATTGATATACGTCACGGGGCATAGGGGATATAAACATTTCAACAATTATTTCTTTAAGTGATATTTGAACGGAAAAATAATGCTAAAGTACTATAGAAGTGGTAAAGTTTAAAAAGTAGTAAGTATTAAACATTTTTTATTGTTATAGTCCATAATATGATAAGAAGGTCTATTTGAAGGAGACTTATCTAGTATTCACCATATTAAAAAAAAATTACACTTAACATTCATTTTAATAATTTGCTGACTGTTGTTAATATGCTAAAGTAGTATTTGACATATACTGTTATAACTTACTTTGTATATGTAAACTAAAACAACTTACTTGATCTTAATATTTCCATAACCGACCATATTTCTGGATAAAGCGTTGTACTCCGCTTTCATTTGAGAAACATAATTCAGTGAAGTGTTGAGCAAATCTTTAGCTATTGCATCGTGGGTAATATAGTTAATGTAATTTTGTTGCTGTAAGTATCCTTGACCAAAGTAATTGACACCATACACCATGGCTATTCCTGTACTTTCTATACTTTTAAGAAGATTTTTAAAAGCCAATAAATACCTAAAACAGATAAAATTTCGAGGTATATTTTATTAGGTATTTAGGGAAGCGTTATTTTTCCGACTTAAAACTCGTTTTTTTTTGCTTCCAACTCAGAAAATAGTTACTTTTGATGCTAGATTGCGAAATGCCATTTCTAAATTTGAGAGCAAAAGTTTTTTTGTGTACGACTTAAAATGATCTAGTCTGAAATTTCTTAAAAACAAGGAATATATAGTTTATTAATATAGTGTTGATAGATAGAAATTCTATTTTGTAATAAGACATGAACTGTTGAGGAATGTAACTATTAATATACAGTATGTTTCAGAAAACATGTATCATCGCTCTTAGAGTGAATCCCTACCCAAAAACAAGACAGCAAATAGTTCTTATCAATATGGGGCAGATGCTTTATTTTAAAAATTCGAAGTATTATACTTTTTAATTTTTGTTAACGCTTTGAATTAAATTTTGTAAAATATACCTAAAAAAGCATATATTATAGAAAACAAAAAGATGTAATCAGATTTACCATAGGAGCGCGTGCGAACGGGTTCTTTAATAATTAAAAAAACAAAAATTGTACGCCGCTGACTTTTCACTTTTTGATAGCATAATTAGTGAGATATTTAAATGCCTAATAAAAAGCACAAGCGTTAGAGACAACTTCTGATACATGGATGAACATTGATTCGTAGTTTTGTCACGTTGTGCAAAATTTTATGTACAATAAGAAATCAGTTAGTAACTAAAAACATAAAATGTGCATACAAAATGTTATTCGTAGTGAAAAGGCAATTGTTTAAACATGAAATTAATTTAATTTAATAAAAGTCGAATGTATTTAAATCTGGCCATTTAACTGATAAATATTCAATGGAACTTTCATGAGTGTACTTTTTATTTTCTGTATGAAAAGTTAGTAGGTAGGTAGGTAGGTAGGTAACTAATGCTTTTCCACACTCGATTGCTTGACTAAACTTCACTTTGCTCCGTTAATTATAACTGTTAGCTAAATATATAATTACTAAACGTCCAGACCTACCTATTTTTCTTCTGGGTGTCCAATAGAGATAACGCGGAGATGTAACTACTAACAAATATCGTGCGGTCCTGAATAAAACATATTCTAAGGGACACAGGCGGGTATAATATCTGCTGTTGTCATATGCCTATTTCATTATTCTCGTTTTGTTTACAAAATTATTTACATATATTAAAAAAGCTAAAATAATTCAACCTATTTTATTGCAACTGAACCCAAAAAATTTTGAATCATTAGTTATATTAAATTTAACTAAATTAGATGTAATTGCACTAAAGTAGATGTAATAATTTTCAATAAATTCCAAAACCTAGTGATGTTAGGTTGGAAGTGGCAACCGGGCTTACACCGGCATGGATATTTACCTTGTTTATTATAAGCGCACAGCGTCTTACACATTTATTCATTTGCCGGGTTTGAGAAAATCTTTGATCACGTGATTCAGTATACGTAAATGTAATGGGACAGATGTGTCCGATGTGGATAAAAAACACTCGAGATGTAAAAAATGCATCCGATGTGGATTCTCAAACGCAGCAATTGATAAAAATAAGTTGTATCTGCGTAAAATTCTTCTTTTTATCCCTTCTCTTCCCAGACAACACACCAAATCCCAGAGATATCCACAGAATATCTTTTGTGGATATCCAATATATCCACAGGATATCATAGATATCCCGTGGATCTAATATGGATATTCAAATGTCCGTCTATACCCAGGATATAGAAGATATCCTATGGATATTCAGCAAAATATCTAATGGGTATCTCCCAGACAATACACCAAATCCCAGAGATATCCACAAAATATCTTTTGTGGATATCCAATATATACACAGGATATCATAGATATCCAGTGGATCTAATACGGATATCCAAATGTCCGTCTTTATCCAGGATATAGAAGATATTCTATGGATATCCAGCAAAATATCTAACGGGTACCCTTACAAATAAATCTTATTCTTAATTGTTGTTATATTAAGTATAGTTAGGTAAAACAAAGACAAATATTATGAGCAGGCTAAATATATTTAAAAAAGAAAAGTATAGTATAAACATACTATTATATTAAATAACATATTACATTTAAGCTGACGAATGAACATAGTACCCGCAGCCAAGGGAAACCTAAACCTAATCACACATACACACATTGGCGCCGCATTTTGTACTGGAATTTTCTTCCTAAAAAGAGACACTCTGTTATAGAATTCCTTAAAAAGTGAAACTATATTTTAAATCAAGCTATACCCAAAACGAAAATGAAGTCTGAAAAAGCCTTCTGTGCAGAGTGTCACTTATACAATATATAACTCTAATTAATAATTTAAAAGGGCTGGATTTGTGTATATATGATACTTATTTATCTAAAATGTTGGTCCAGCTAAACATAACCTAACCTTACTTGTTATATAAATTCTTCATACATGCTATTGAATACCCCAGCAGATGTAATAAGATTACCTTAAACAGTGCACAAGTTCGTACAAAATGAAAAACTCAGCAAGTCAATAATCGTGGACAAGTTTGTATAAGATCAGTTCGAGCGTCTAAGAAATTCAGGCACTTGCTTTGTATTTGACGCATATACGCTTATTAACACGAACGAAATGATGATCAAGTTCAAGTCCAAACATGCTCTTGCTATTTTAGTATATAACAAGCTTGCAGTTAGGTTGAAAGTTCATTTACATTTTGAAATTCGTTGGAACTTGAATGATAATTTATTTCAAGAGATTACAAAGTAATTACATAGTTTAGTTGCCTACGTGTGTTAATAGCGTACCTAACTATACTCTCTACTTTCTTCAGTTTATGAAAAAGTAATAGGGTAAGTATCAAAAAACGTTATAATATTTTTTGATTACCTTACTTTAGAAAAGTTGTTACCTAAAATTATAAATGTTCAGTTTTCTTTGTTCTCGTTTTTTACGCTGATAGGTACCTATTACAAATTTTTTATACTACAGTGACTTTATCCAAGTGTATCAATGAGTAAGTTCGTGAGCATACCTAAAATATATACAGTGCCTAGGTGTGATAAATATAAGCTCGCGTGCATATTTAACAGTTTTATTATTGGGTTTTTAAGTAGTTTCCTAAACATATTTTTTTTTATTTGCAGGTTTACTGCCAGTTTTATGATGGTATACACGAAAAAAAAAATGCAGACAATACAGTTTGGACTACTTGAAGTTTGGATTTATTTATTCCATCTCTATCAAATCAACACTTGCCGATGTGTCTTCAAAAATGGTCCCCCAGATGGGATGTAACGATGGCTCTAAGAAACACAAAAGCGAACCCAGTGACCAAATTTATATTGAATTCCATTATATGCAGGCATGGCAGCCCACGGTTTTTGCTGAGTGACCAAGGGTCAAACTTCAAATCAGAGATGATCACTGAACTCACTAAGATAATGGGAACAACAAGCCAGTTTACCACTGCCTATATTCCAGCAACTAATGGATTGACAGAAAGGTTCAACAAGACCCTAGCAAATATGTTGGCAATGTATACTAATTCAGAACACACAGACTGGGACGAATGCCTGAGCTTAGTAACATTTGCATACAACACAGCGAAACAGAACACTACCAAATTCTCCCCTTTTATGTTGGTTTATGGTAGATAACTAATCTTGCTCAAAAGAACAATCTGGACGTAGTACAGATTAGAGACAGAGCTGCGGCAGTCAGAAACCTATCTGTACAGGACATACAGAACAAACAGACCAGGGACAAAGAAAGATATGATTCCATGCACAGGACAATAGAATTAAAAAAAAAGGTCAAAATAAAAATTGGGGAAGTAAATTACCTGATTTAAAAAGACGAAACTGGTACAAAAACACGATTTCGTAACACCCTTCAGATACGAATTGACGAGATTGATCGAGACGTGGAAAACATGCAATTTTGTACAGACCAACTGATTTTCTCTCCAGTTATAAGAGTCTACATTACCCGGCAATGCAGATCTGTTGTTAAGATATGTTCTATATATTTAAGATGAAAATATATGTCAAGAACTGCTTTTTCCTACATACATCGATTTTACCGACAAAACTATTCCATGGAAGAACAATGTTTTTATTGCGACTGATGGTGCACCATATATAGTTGGTCGTCATCGTGGTTTTTATATAGCTCACTTAAAGCGACAACTGCCTGATGTACTGGCCATTCACTGTGTGATTCGCAAACAGCATTTAGTAGCAAAAAATATGGGTCCCAGATTGAACCAGTCTTTACAATATGTTATAAATGCTGTCAACAAGATTCAAAGCAATTCTTTGAAGTCTCGGTTATTTGTTTAGCTATGTGAGGAAAACGACGAAGTCTTTACTCGGTTACTTCTGCACACCAAAGTTCTCTGGCTATCAAGAGGCCCCTGTTTAGCAAGATTTTCAGCTAGTTTTTATAATAAAAAGATACGAATTTAAAAGAAAATCTGAACAATTGTAGAACATATATTTATTACTTTACTGATATATTTGTTATGTTTAACAATTAATTTGCTGCTGCAGGGTGACGATCTCAGCTTGATTAAAACAAAATCAATAATATTGGTCTTTGTGGGTAAACTTATTCGTTATAAACAAAATTTAAGCAGAAAAGAATATTCACAGTTTCCGCATTTGTCAAAATTACCAGAAATGCTTCAAGACGATGTTATTTTATTATATGTCACTCACTTGGATGCATTACACAAGGATTTTACTAAGAGGTTTGAGGATCTCTTAAATTTATAAATTCCTGAATGGAAAATAAATCCGTACAATATCACAGCTATGGACGAAGCCAATGTGATATTGCAAGAAGAGTTAATTACAATTAGCACATACGAGGAGTTTAAGCAGAAATTCAACCAAGGCTATCAGAAGTTCTAGTTACAGCGTAACATTGAAACACAGTATCCTGTATTGTGGAACAATGCTGAAAAATACCCTATTGCTTTTCCATCATCATACCTAGTCGAAAATGGTTTTAGTGTGGTTAGAAACATTTTGAAAATCAACGAACGCGGAGATTTAAGGCTGCAACTCACTATTATTGAACCAGATTTAGCTAGATTGGTAGAAAGTCACCAGGTTCATCCATCACACTGAATTTTTATTATTTTATCTTTACTTAGCGATTTTAATTTTTTTTTTTAATAATTACCTACTTAAGTAATTTTTCGTAATTTGTATTAATTACACTTTATATTTACTGAATTTTATGTCTATTTATTTTGTTAAATTTTGATGAAAAAATGATGTCAGGTTTACTTACTCAACCAACCGCAAAGTTTTAAAAGTGGTAAGTATTTTGTATTAATAGGAAAAAAACTAGAGAAAGGATTTTTAATTTGGCTATGGGGGTCTGAGGTATCAGTTCATTTTGGAAAAGGGATCTCTTGCCCAAAATAGATTGGGAATCCCTGATGTAGAACATTTAGAAAACTGACTGTACAAATGAACTTACTTGTAAATATTTTAATATGAAAGGCACAAAATGGTAAAATACAAAAGGGCAGCTACAAAAAAACAATGATAAATGGTAAGCTCTATATAATTTGTAAACTTAGTTATACATATGTTCAGTTCCCATTCGAAGTCCTGAAGTTAAATTCTGACTGAAGCCAAATTCCCAAAGCCAAGTTTATTTTAATTTAGGAATTAGTATAATTCAAATTCCATGCGTTAATTATTTTAAACACAGTTATTTTATTTTAATAACCTTTAATTAATTTTTAATATTACTCTCAAACATATCCATTTTTTTTCTGTGTCATCGGCATCAACTGCTATGGTTACTCTTTCCCAGGCTTTGTTACTCTTACCCAGCACCGCCACTTTAGGAAGAGCACTGTTAATTAGAACCCAACAGTAAATATGTACATCAATTATACATAAAACAACTTAAAGAGCTTTGGTATACTTATAACTAGATTATTTCTACATAAAACAATTTAATGTCTAATAAACATACAAGAAACACGACTCAATACCAAATGCCATAGAAAAATAAAATCCCAGTGCCGCTGACCGATTATGAATGACACGGCTGAAACTATTTTTGTAGAATGACGGATCACTTCCCTTCGTGCATCAAACTTGTCTCCGGTACTAGACACTTGTATAAAAAGCACTTTTTATTATTTTTTGGATTTCGTTTAGATTAGAAGAAATAAATTAAAAAATGTAATAACGTATCTGCAGACCCATATTGATAGGAACTATTTGTCTTATTATTGGGTAAGGAATCACCCCACGAACGATAGTACATATTTTTATATATATAATAATAAACAGTTGTAGGACAAAATTAGTTTACCTCCACACACCACTGTTATCGTTTTCTTTAATTTGTTGTGTGAGATGTTCCAGTAAAGCTGCATTGAGTGAAGTATACCAACGAACAACGTCTTTTATTGTGTTATCATCAGATTTAATTACTGTGTCTCTGAAAACATAAAACTAAGTATAAGTCAGTTTCTACTTCCTTATGAAAATAATTTTATTACATTATAGTCAATTATGTTTCTTTACCCGTGACTATTCAGGGCGGTTACGTGTTTTTACATTTTAACTTCACGCCTTTATTTAATGGTATTTTTTTACAGAATAGGTTAATTCTTTAAAGACAACTTATTAGACTTAGGCAACTTATCATACATTTTCCCGTGAATACTGTTGCCTGCCTATATTTTATTATTGATTTTTATTGATTATACTTAGTTTTTTTTTTTTAGTTTAAGCGATAAAAATATATAATAATAATAAATTAATGTTTCACTTGTTTTACAAATCCAAATACTTTTATTAAAACTAACATATATACTTTTTAATTTTAATTACGCAAAAATAGTCCGTTAGTACATAAATGAATTAGCGCTGCTGTCACGCACGGAGCGAATACACAAAAAATGTTTTTTAAAGTAGATGTTGGAAAAATTAACGCAGGCACAATTCTTCTTCTACATAAGTGTTAGTTTGGATTTAATTCTCACGAACATGACTCCTATCTCTGCCTATATCTGTTATGACCTACTTTAGAAACATTTTTTGTAGATCACTTTTTATTTAAAAATGCATTGTGAATAAGGATGTAAATCTATTAGTGTCAGTGTAACTATTTAAATGAAAATGTTTCGGCATTCCAATAAAATAATTATTAATGTTTAAATTTACCTAAATTTCGTCAAATTTCTTTGAAAACTTGCTTTATCAATGTATATGATTTTCTTGTCATCAACTGTAAATGACACAGGAGGCCAGCTGCTCATATTTCTTAAAGCTTCATCTGTCAGTTCAAAACGTTTTGTCAAATTGGTCCTAAAACATATACCTATATTAAATAAAAAAGAAAGCAAAAAGAGTGCAAAGAAACCTAGGTAATAAAAACATATTTATTATAAGAGCAACAATGTTCCACGTATTTTAAAGTCTAAATACTCTCAAAAAAGTATTTAGAGAGTTCAATATTAACAACTGGTCCTTCCTCCACCTCTACACTCGTTCCACAGTCCTCGCCTCTACACTTTCATTATTGTCATTCTTTTAATAATTATTGTGTTAGAATCTTGGAGATGATCTTGTTTCGTCATATCATATCAAACTTGACTTTAGGTAAGTTTGTTTGATCTTTCAATATTATTTCACGCCTTGTTCTCAATGATCATCGGTAGACGTTCAAAGAAAAGATGATTTGTATTCCAAACCCAACCAATGAATAATTATTCGAATTGTCTTGGCATATGCTAAATAATATACTAGTATTTATGGATGGATAGGGCAAGGAAAATTAACACATCAATGGCACTGTAACACATCAATGGCACTGTAAGGCCTTTTTGGGCGAAAGCTTCTTTGACAATCGACCTGCCTTTAGCGAAAGGGTGTACCAGATGGGGTGAAGAGACCTTTCTCATTTGGCATTATTCTAAATGCTTTTTTAACATAATTTTCCTTAGAAGGTATGTATGAAGCAACAATTCTAATTCGTCTTGTTTCACACCATCACCACCTCCACCACATTCGTTGAGTAATAAACATTGTTTATATTTTTAAATTTAATACTATCCATCTTGATGTATGATATGACAGTGGTATTTTCCAAAAATTTTATAATTTTGTAGATTCTTAGCAAAACGTTACTTGTTTATTCCACTATCAGAGGTCTGTTTCTAGAGCGTCAGCGATCAATATAGTAGTACTATATCATCAGTCTTATTCAAGGCCAAAATTTTGCCCATCCAAGTTTCTTACGTAAAGCCAACCATAAGGTAGTGCTAGCCAGGCTCCAAGTTTTCCTATCAGTTTAGAGAAACTTCCGATAAGAGCCCCTTTGCTTGGCTAACATTTTTTGCGATTTCAGATAATTTGATTTTTCATCATAGTTTCTAAATCGATAATGAAGTTTTCTGTAATATTTATATTATTTAAACAATTAGTAATGTCATCCAGATAACTGTAGAGGTTAGACCCATGCTGCGAAGATGGGTAACCGCAGGTTTTAAACCAGGGGTTTACGGTTGATACTAAAAGGAAATGCTAAAATTATATAAATTGAATTTCCTAATTTAAATCTAACTTATTTTCTATGGCCTTCATGGATTTTAACAAAAGAGCTCCCTCAAGGTCAATTGGCCCCATAAAACAATATTTTGAAATTAATTTGATAGCCACTGGATGTTAAATTAATAATATAGACCAAGTTGCGTCCAATATATTTGCACTGACAACCTTTTTCGACTCACTTGCGCTCCAGAAAAAGTCAACAAAAATAATTGGCTTATTTGCGCCCAGATTTGCAGCCCCTTGGTCATTACGAGTAATTACGGCATTTTAGATTGTTGGTACCTATTTACAATATTTACATACATGCATAGTCGAGTAGTATATAGTTAATCAAGTTTTTATTGTGTAAGATAAAGTGCGTAAACATTTCCGTATATTGCATCGCCTTTATTATTTATACACACCTCTTTTATATAAGTACACACTCCACAAAAATTATCGCTTCACTAAAATGTTTGCAAAAGTTTGAAGGCATTTTTTTTCAAACCGTTTGATCGATTTGGGTGTTCTTTTTTTTGGATAAGAGGTTGATTCTTCAGGAATAATAATCTTTATTATTCTTAAAATAAAATAAAATTTTTAAGTGAAAACCATAATATAGATTTTTGGATTGAAAATTTATAACACCCTGTAGAGTGTGCCAGCAACAACAACATGTTACAATTAATAATAGCGGACTTTATATAGTCTCATCTCTTCGCAAAATTTTCTGTTTCGATTTGTTCTATTATCTCTATTATTAGAGGAGATATGGATCATAATACAAAATAAAACTATAACAAAGTTTATTAAATCTTTAACAAAGCAAAATTAATTTTACAAGCCCAATTTGAAATACGCTAATTTTCAATTCCGTGTGTTACCTCCTCTGGCTGTAATTACAGCTTAAAGGACCCCGCAATAATCTTATGGAAATTGAGTTTCTGTCAAATTGTCCGAATTTTTGATATGTTGTAGATTTTGTCATCCTGAACAAAAGTCTCCATGGGCACAAAGTGCCAAAATGAATAGTTTGGCAGCTACGGAGCTGACAAAGCTCCCCTGATCCGTTGCAAAACTATTCATTTTCAATACTATTTACAGATGTTAAAAGCATATTTTCATTGTTCTAATATATAGGGTAATGTTTTTGAGGTCATTGGATTCAACCCTCATGTCAGATTGGACAAATTGACCGTTGACAGCTGTCAATTCACCGTCAACGAGGAATATAAAAGTAAATATCCTCTTTTCCCATTGAGAGTTTGAGTTTTTGAGGTCGATGAATTCAATTCTCATGTCAGATTGGACAAATTGAGAGTTATCAGCTGTCAATTGACTGTCAACGAGGAATATAAAGGTAAATATCCTCTTTTCACATTGAGAGTTTGGGTTTTTGAGGTCGCTGAATTCAATTCTCATGTCAGATTAGACAAATTAACCGTTGGCAGCTGTCAATTCACGGTCAACGAGGAATATAAAAGTAAATATCCTCTTTTCACATTGAGAGTTTGAGTTTTTGAGGTCGCTGAATTCAATTATCATGTCAAATTGGACAAATTGACAGCTATCAACTGTCAACGACCTCAAAAACCCAAACTCTCAATGTGAAAAGAGGATATTTACTTTTATATTCCTCGTTGACCGTGAATTGACAGCTGTCAACGGTCAATTTGTCCAATCTGACATGAGGGTTGAATCCAGTGACCTCGAAAACATTACCCCATATATTAGAATAATCAAAATATGCTTTTGACATCTGTAAATAGTATTGAAAATGAATAGTTTTGCAACGGATAAGGGGAGCTTTGGCAGCTCCGTAGCTGCCAAAATATTCATTTTAGCACTTTATGCCCATGGAGCACATACTTTGATTTTATGTGCCATGGAGACTTTTGTTCAGGATGACAACATCTATAATATATATTAAAAATTCAGACAATTTGACAGAAACCCAATTTCCATAAGATTATTGCGGGGTCCTTTGTCTTGGCAATCCTTTAAACAGGTTGTGTATATAGTCTTGATCCCTTTATTTTTTTATCTTATTTTTATTTATTTTTTTTATTTATTTTTATTTATTTATTTAAACTGTTATTCCGGCGAGGCGGGATCATGTTAGCTAGTATTAAAATATTTTGAATTACATTTTTGTGTGGTGACCAATATCCAAACAAAACAAAGTTAAAAAGTATGTTCAATGTTATTTTTCGACGACCACTACAGAAAATCACATATTCTGAATTGTTTTTAAGCGTCAATGTAGGCAATTCCGTATACATCCATAATTAGTGTGGAAATATTATTACACGGTAATTCCACACTGTTTAGTGCATCGAATAAATTGTCGAATAACCTTTAGTACGAGTGAAAAAACAATATATTTTAAGTACATACTTATTTAATTAAATAATTCGTCCAAAATACTAAAAATTTTAGTTAATTTAGAAAGAAACGTAAAATGATTTATAACTTTTGTAATGTTGGTTGCCTATGTATAAAATAGAATACAAGAAAAATTCAAATCAAGTTACCCGATTTAAAATATTGACATTTCAAATCTTGACATTTAATTTATTTCGATATTTTTGAAAATTACAAATAATAAAATGGACAGTGATAGTAATAGTAGTGATAATAATACTAAGACACATATTAAAGAAATAGCAAATAACATTAAAAAAGGCTTATTGCCTCAAACATCGGCGAAAAAATACAACTTAGCTTATTTACGATGTATGGATTGGTGCCAACAAAATAAGGTAAACTCCTTTTCAGAAAATATTTTAATGGCCTAATTTTGGGAGCTATCGAAGCCTTTTAAATCTTCTATATTATGGTTAATTTACTCGATGTTTAATAAAAAAAATACAAAATCACAACTGGGTAGGTACGCGGCAAATTCCTAATGTAAGATAGGTTTATATAACAAAAAAATAAGTAAATAAATTATACATTTTAAAATTTAAATTAAGTTAGATTAAAGAAAAGCAAATTAGTTACAAATTTAAAAGATTGACAACAATAATACATATTTACCACCTCTTAATATTTGTAATTTTAAATCGTTAATAAAGTTCATCAAATAATTTTAAAACATGTGAAATTTGGGTTTTAGTCATTGTGGCACTCGCATCGTTGAATTGGTTACTTGCTGCACTTTTTGCACAATATACTATTCTTCGTCTATTTTTAATTGATAATTATGTTAAAGGATTTGAAAGCCGAATTATTTAAAAAATAGGATATACCTACAGAAAATGTACCTTTCCTTTTTATTTTAAAGTAGGTTAATAAATGATGATCCTCAAAAAGTATTTTTAAAGTAGGCTATGACCAACAAAGGAGAGTCATGTCCGTGATAACTACGCACGGCTCTGAATTAAACACAAACTGATACTTATACTGATACGCCCCGATATTTGTGAATTTTTCCACTGCCTACTTTAGAAATATTTTTGTCGATCACTCCATATAAAGGTGCGTACAGTCATCACGAATGAAGAAACGAAAATATTTGATAGTATTACCATTTTAATTGTTAGTAAGTATTATTCTATTTTGGTGTGATATTCGAAGCTATTGCTCATTGTTAGTTCATCACGTTCGTATGCTCCTTTACATTTCTTAATTTTTATTATAAGAAACTTGTTTTGATTTAGTTAAACATTTTCTGGAAAATTTTATTCATCTTATATAAACATACCTTAATAATGAGCCACTCGTATATACATAGAAAGCAACTTCTGACCTCTCCAACTGCATTCTTGTTACAACTTTCCCTAATTCCGTTGCTATTGTAACCTAAAAGAAAAGAACACATTATTGGAAATGTAAAAATGACATTTCGGAAGGCCAATAAGGAATAGTACAAAATATAATATTACAATCGTTAATTATTCATGTGTGAAATTGAATTATCCTAATAGTAAGGTTTTTTTTTTGGTAATTTTAGGATATTTGCAAAGTACCAATTTGAGTTTTATCCGAAAACTCTTTAAATATTAAAGACATTTAGGTAATAAAAAGCCAGAGATACTTAAAGTACTCAGAAATTGGTATTCGTCAGAGTTGGGTCGGATACAGGAAAAAAGTACCAGATACGGATACTTACAATGTATCCGGATACTTTTAAGGATACTTTCACCGTAAAAGTACTCGGATACAAGTATCCGGATACTTTTTTCGGATACTTTAAAGGATACTTTTAAAGTGAGTTAAAATAATGTTTTCCTACAACCACTTAGGAAAGTGACACATATTACACTACATAGTCCTATGGAAAGTGCCCTATATCACACGCGTATGAATAAGAATTTACTTTCCACCCGTGTACGAATATGCTACTTTCCGCAGCAGCTGTCACAAAATGTCAAACGCATCATTTCTATTTTGATCTATGTAATGTCCATATTAATACTAAAATCCATATGATTGTTAAATTATTGAAATTGTTGTAAATTAGATCCTAGATATTTATCTTTAACAATTAATATTAAAATAATTTTAAAATAACTAAGATATGTTTGCTTTTTATTCTGGTTAAACACATAACCGATTAGATCATTAGACCTGGCGAGCGACCGCGACCTGGCGGGGTCAGAATTTTTTTTTTTTATTTTTTTTTTGTTTTTTAATTTTTTTTATTTGTTTAAAAAATATGAAAATTGAATAAACACGATTATTGTTGATTATTTTTTTAAATATATTTTAATTATTATAATAATAACCTGGTTTTACATTTTTTGATGAAATTATTTTGTGGTCGTAGGAAAAATATTGTATATTACTCGTGTAAAAGCCGCACTCGGCTTGTGCCTCGTGCGACAATATTTCCCACTCGTGTGAAAAATGTCACTTTCCACACTCGTAATGTAATATACTATTTCATACCAATAGATTGATCACGAGTAACAATAAACAATACTAGGCATAAATAAATTATCGAAAATGGAAAGCGATATAATAGTCCAGGATCCGTAAGTAAGGTCGACCTTCACCCATCTATTTAATGGATAAAAGTTATTTTTTATTAAATAAAATATGTTTTTAAATATACCGCAAATGGGTTGCCTTAGAAAATACGGTCACGGCCATTTTTTACTTTCCTCTCTGTAAACAGATAAGGAAAGCATAGGAATCATGATAAAAGTTGCTTATGATGTCATTCTCTATTATTTTGTCTCTATACATGATTTTCCTAAAATGGACCTAATTTGAGATATTTGATGAAAAGTGCAAATTTTGAATTTTGAAGATAACTCAAAAACGGATAAGGAGAAAAACACCAAATTTTGAACTTAAGCTTTAATCTATCCTGCGGTGAGCTGATTCAAGTTTGGGCACAGTAAAAGCATTTGGGGAATACTTTACAGGGTGTCGTTTTTTTTTACTTTAAGAAAATAAATAGTCTGGACCGAATTTTCTTAGGCAACCCATTTGCGGTATATTTAAAAACATATTTTATTTAATAAAAAGAAAGTTTCATCCATTAAACAGATGGGTGAAGGTCGACCTTATTTCGGATCTTAGACTCTAATAGAAACAGGAAAAAAACTACTACTTAAATTGTTTATTATTTTTATTCTGTGAATATAAAACATTAAAACAAAATAAACATTAAAACAAAATTAACAATAAAACATATAAATCTAACGAAATAAGCTCCTTGTTGGCGCGACTTGTCATGTTTATATAACCTTTCGATATTCTCGTCAGTGTCAGAGGTATTCGACAATCCATTTTTTGTGGATCCTCCGACGAATGGTCCTTGGTAGAGTCGAGAGCGTTAAAAGGAGGAGGATTGAGAGATTGCTGAATGTTTCGTTCTGGCATAGGCAAAGCAGGCTCGTATATATGATCTTGTCAGATCTGTATTCTTTACTGATGTTGACGACATAAATAACACATGATCAGTAACATTATGAGCAACAACATCATACATGTATTTCCTCGACTACATTTTAATAATGTATTTAGACGTTTTACAAAACAAAATTTCGAGGTATCTACACCTACTTACCTTTGCGTATTGTTAGGCAATAAAATTGATACAGAAAGTTTAGTTATATTGCACTATATAAAAACACAGGAACAACCGTTTCTTGTCTTTGCCAACATAACTGGACTAATGGAACCTCCACAAGTTCGTGATGCTAACACCGGACAAGAGTTTGCAGGATTTTTCATGTAAAAACGTGCTGCTGACTCCCGACCGTCTGTATTTAAATTTTACAGATGTAGTACTTTCTGCGTGTTCACGTGTAAAAAATATATATTGTGTTCCTTGTTTGGGTTCGTTATCAATAAAGACCCCCTTAATGGAATTCGAAAAATCTGATACATTTAAGGAATCTGATACATTTTTAGACAAATCTTGTACATAACAAAAACATATTCTGGCAACACTGTACCAAATAAAACAAACTGTCATTTCGTTTTTCGTCATGATCCCGTTTTAATAAAAATTAAGATTATTTTAATATTTGTGATCATTTAAAAAAATGTGTTTGATTGAGAACTGCAACTTTAATAAATTGGAAGGATGTATGTCAATTTAACGATTGTTCCTGAAAAAATTCTTTAAGGCAAGGTAAATAAAAACTTTTTAAGGTTATATTGTTTACCTTTAATAAAGTATTACTACTGTAATTTGTTTTATATTTTGTTTCAGTGCCTAAGACCATCCAAAGACTAAGAAGTAGGCAAAAAATTTGTAAATTTTTTTTCCACAAAACCCACTAAAAGGAAAAATTTTATTATTCTGATGAGGTAACTACTTAACATCATTATGGAAATGGAAATGTACAATTAAAATTTAATAAAGATAAGGAGACAAATGGTTTTTCACTTTATTAGTCTGAATCGGAAAAAAGGATTAACCAGTTAAATAAATAAACTCGATGAGAAATTGATATATCGGAAAGATCTGCACAGTTTACATTTAAGATATCCACACAACTTAACGATTCCGAATTACCGATTATCATTTTTCAAAAGATCTTTCACATATAACGCCATTTCAATATATAACAGTCTACCTAGGGAAATTAGGACATGTTCTTTGACATTTTTGAAACAAAATTATAAAACGTTGCTATTAGTTGAGCAATGAATACAGTGCTAACGTTAATATATTATTAATTTCAAACATTTTTCCTTATTTAATTGTATTTTAAGTTCCATTGATTTCAGTTTAGATTAAATACAGGGTTAACATTTTTAATCATAAATTAATTGTATATTAAATTTCTTATTTTTTTTATATTGTAAATGATGGATACCTTTTGATTATTTTAAATTTATATTTATGTTGAGGTTAAGTTGAGTAGCGCAAGCTAGACTTCGCCTCATGATGTTTATGTGCATTGTATTACAAGCAAATAAAGGCAATTTATTATTATTATTATTATTATTATATTTTACCTAAGAAATGATATGTACATTTAAATAGTTTACCTATATATAGTTATGTTTGCCTGCAATTATCAATCGTGTTACCCTCTAACCAAGATCGTTTGTTGCATACAAATCAGAAATCTTTTATTTTAATGACATTTTTTTATTGCCTTGTTTGTATAATTTAGTATTTTCAAAAATATTAGATGTTATGGTAATTTGAATCACTACAAGTATTAAATAAAAATAAGGCTATTGGTAAATTAGTTTACAGTTGGTAATAAAAAATGTCTCGAAAAGAGTCTCGAAATAAGTATCAAACATAAATTGTAATTTTAATTAGGTACTTAACAAGTCACATCCCACATATTTACATTCTCTGGCTAATCAATCTTATAAGTACATATCAAAATATTAATATACTATCTACAATTAAACAATAATTTGAAAATACAGATGAAGCCGATTTACCTATTTAAACAAAATTACTATTATTCTATTATTTATTAAAACACATTATTTTTTAGTAAACTTGGACATGCAAAAGCAGCCATGATTGTAGGACATCAGTGAGAGCAAGAATATTTTGGAATGTGCTGTGAAATACACTTAGAAAGGGTCATATGTAGAATTAAGTGTGATAACATTTTACGATATGTATCTCACTAGTTTAGTTCACAGATTTCTGTGTTCTGTGTTCATTATGTGCTGTTATTTCAAACTTTTAGTATCCTTTGATAAAAAAAGTTGAATATTATTGTTGACCTTTTTAAATTGTTTACTTCATAATTTTTTTTTCTACTCTTCATACAGTATTCTGTGAATAGTATTATAGGTTTACTTTGTCTGTCTGTCCAATGTCACGTTTTTTGTCTGCACGATAAGTCAAAAACTTGAAAATTTTGCAAAAATCAAGCTCTATTAAGAGACAAGGCCTATTGATTTTTAACAAATCTGATTAAAAATAGGGGGTTAAGATGGGTTGAAATTAAAAAAAAATTCTTGTCGATGACTTTGAAAAGAAGGAAGCCAAACCACTAAGCGTCGAAATGAAAACTTTGCAATATTTAATATTATCCATGCTTCGCGATAAAACCAAATTAAGTCTATGTGATATACAGTGAACGAAAATTGCATGTATAAACTCCTCTTTCACTTTAGCTTGAAGGCCTCATAAATGGCCAGCCATTACGGCAGCACCATCGTAGCTCTGGGCAACAAGCTTAGAACCACATTCTAAACTTGAAATAATGTCACAAACAATTTTAAACAATGCATCTGTAGTTCGTTCGCTAGTGACGTCCAAAAATCCTAAGAATCGCTCTTGAGGAATGCCATCCAATAAATATCGCACAACAATGGATAATTGACAAGTTTGCTACATCTGTGGTTTCATCAAGCGCATT